TGTTTTTTCTTTGTAAGCGTTCATCATTGTTTAAGATGACAAAAGACACTTGGTCATGCGTGAACCTATACATCTGGGTAAGATCCCCCGCAACCGATGTAGATTAAGTATTTTGAGACGGTCGTCGTAAGGTTTATGTCTTAGTTGAAGTTGCCAACGCGTTGCATCTCCTGCGCTGCGCTCTTTCCAAAATACCACAATCACCCAACAGCCATTGGTTCCAGACAGGAACAAATTCCAGGATTCGGTAAATGTAGATGATAAAAACTCTGCAAGCATGGCAAGAACTGGTATTTTTAAAAGTTCTTTTTAACAAAAATAAAGCGGAATTTGCTTTCTTGCCAATATTTGATACGTGTAAAAAGCAAGTAAGATTATTAGTTTCTGTTACACCTAGAAGGACAAGAGATAACAAATATAACAAATCGGGATTGTTTTTTTCAACATGTAATGGAGCACTTCTGAGTATTTTACGGGAATAGTCAAGGACCACTTGTAAATAGTATTTAAGTCTCGATGCAATTCATTCACATGTGTTAAAGGATTTTGAAATAATTCAGTATCATCAGCAAAGTGCTCACGCTAGAGTTGACAGTAACTCCACGGTATACACTAAGAATAACACCGGTCTCAGCACTGATTCTTGCGGAACATTTGTGGTAGTGAAAAAGTTTTAACGAACTCCAAACGGTGGCTTAAAAACGTTGCTATTCATTTCAACAGCTTGCCTCGCACTCCCACCTTTTCAAGTTTGAATAACAAGCGTCAAGTCAAGGTATATAATGTCTACTGGATTACTCGAGTGAAGAGATAATGTCTTATGATTCAAACATGTCAGTGCATTTGATATAACTGATCTGCCAGAGACCAAGCTATGCTGCGCTGTAATAAGGCTAATAGCTGATCTACTATTATTCTATCAATTCTAGAAGAATGATTTAAAACATCCAACTTATCACCAAGATTTCGCTGGGTGCTAGAGGCCCCTCACGGTGAGACGATAGATTAGCGGGTTCATTAGCACAAATACTAGCAAAATATGATGCAAATACATTTGAATTAAAGTCCTGGTCATAGTGGACCTCTCCCAAAGTATTTCTAATGACAGATAGGTATATTCTAGCCTATACGTGATGTCTGATTTAGAAATAGAAAGCATTAGGCCGATTAACTATGTTATTTTCGAAGGCACACTTCGCTTCTCTAATCTCTAAGGCTGAACTACTAGAAACTCTCCTGTGCAGTGCATGATCGGCAGCAGAGGTATTGGCTTTAAATCTACCCCATACAGTTGTCTTATGTTTGATTTGTCTGAAGAGATGTCCAATTAGCCAAAGCTTTTCGGAATTGAATTTTACGAAATGAGTTTTTGAGCTTATGCCTATGTAATAATGTAATACGTAGATATTATTCTACACCTACTGTGAACTGCGTTTAGCATTTTGTAACTCGGCTATGCCATTGGACAAATAAATAAATAATGAGAGCTCGCAGGAAAATTAGGTTTTCAGGTAACGTGACGATATATGTCGATGATGATTGTAGCGCCGTTCAGAAAAATCAACTGGCCCCGCCTTTTTGACGAATTTCGTTCTCCGATCCCACTTCTGATGTGACGCGGAACGTCCTTCGCCCGCCGCGTAGGAACGATTAAATGAGAAACCGTTTTCTTCTAAGTGCACATTATAAATAGAAAGAGCGAGAGGGAAGACGACCGTCGGAGTGGATCCGAACGCATTTATAATACCAGGTGTTCGGCCCGGGGCGTCCAGATAACAAGCGACTATTTCCTAAATACCATTGTACGGTTTCTTTCGATCTGTCTCCGATTTTTTTTTTATACGACGCGCGTTTTGTTTATGCCCGTTTACGATTTTGTAGAGTCATATTGTGCCGCCAGAGCGCAGAGTCGGGCTTACGTAATTTGACCGTGTTGTGAGAAGACTATAAATAGCGAAAATTTTAAATTTTGGGCTTATGATAAATCCGATGAATGGTTTATGAATTAGGAAATATTTACTACAATCATATCCGTTGGGTAGGATATAATATGTATATATATTTTGAGAAAGAAAAATCTGCATTTCGATTCGTTAACAGTGGAGTGCCTCAGGGCTCCGTACTGAGGCCTTTACTATTTGTTATATACATATATTAAGGATTTGTTTACCTTTTTGGTTTGTAGTAACAAAGACTTATCAGTTTTCAAATCCAGTAGTCGCGTTATAGTAGAAAATGGCAATAATTGGTTCTCCCAAAACTATCTTAAATTAAATAGAGAGAAAACGTAACAAACAATGTTTGTAAAAGGGAAACATTTTTAACATACTAGTTATAACTATTAACTATACCTTGAGCATACCTCCTGATGTGGAGTTTTTAGGTGCATCAGCTATACTACGGTCACTGATACAAGACATGATGAACTTTAGCAGTATAATCATCGGTAGTTATAGTTTTTGGACGTCCCGAAAACATGGTCCAACTCAACTTTAACTTGAACAGGTCAAGATAATTTGCATATTCTAATTCTAACTTCTGAGTTTAGATCCCATTTGTAATTCAAGTGATACTTGTATGATGACACGCACTCGACCACTTCATTTTTAACGGTCAAATTACGACCTTGGATCATCTGAGATTTACTGATAACGAGCCATTTCGTTTTTTTTTAACATTGATTCTAAGACGTATGGACTCGTGGTGTTCCGTAACAGAGGTCAAGAGTTCTTGCATTTCTGTTACCCTGATGGTAAGTAAGACGGTGTCATCAGCATATCTAAGGTTATGGATTTTCAACGATTCTTATCCCCGCCTGTTTGTCGTCCAGAACTTCACTGAGTATTCTCTCTGAGTACAAGTCAAATAATAATGGAAACAGAACGTATCCCTGATGCACGCCGATCTTAATCATAATTTCCTCCAAAAGCTCGTTATCCACTTTGACGACTGTTTGGCACTAGTATAGATTTGCTCTAATGCGAATGTCACTCCTGTCTAGTCCCATTTCTTTGAGGATGTCACTTTATAATGGTTTACGCTACGAGACATAAACACATCTACACTAACATCCCTACAGCGCTGAATGGTGCCGCTCTCTTTCCAAATCAATTTCGGAAACCAAACTGAGAACCACTATGTGAATGATTTTTAAGAAAAGTCATTAGTCTGATTTTATTTTTTACAGTGCGGGTTTTGGGTATTGACATAACGTTAAACCAATCTTTTTTGATTATACCAGTTTTGTGAATGTTATTAAATAATTTTAATATCATGTAGAACTTTTAAAATATCAACATAAACTCCATCTGGTCCAGGTGATTTATCGTGTTTCAAAAGTGACAAGGACTATTCTAGTTATTTCCAGTTCGTCGTCCAGCTTGATATTATGCAATGTGTTACGGTTGTCGTTCAAAAGATTTTCAATATATCTAACCAATTCTTGTAGCTTTTCCACTAATCTTTTACTTTCTTGTGCAGGTTAAATGATTCTGCTGCTGGTTAATTTGATGCCCAAGTCGCTTTTAATAACGCATGTAATTACTGGATTTATTAGTTTCCGATTCCCTCAGCGTCGTTAGTTTTGTGGTTTTGAAACTTGTTATCTTTAGTTTCAAGTTCATAACCGATACGAATACATTATCATATCACATCATATATCAGTATTTGAGGTGTCTGATTAAAATATAATTGCACTGGACTGTTTCCCTTTTCATTTGGGGTTTCTAAACCGTACTTTCAATGTCACTATGTCTTCACGCCGTTTTATATCATTGTAAAATACTTCATCATCAGATGCGCCGTGAGAAAGATAATGAGATAAAAAAAAGACACAAAACGTGAAAGGGAGGATGACAGACAAATAGTCCAAGTATTTCTCCACTTGACTCGTCTTGAGAAAGTTATAGAAAGAAGACACAAAACGCCAAAGGGAGGATGACAGAATAATCCTTAATGGTACAGACAAGTGAAAATAAGTTAAGGCAGCAAAAGTACAGAGACAGAAAAAGAAAAAATGGTTCGTAGCTACATGTCAATGCGACACAGATCAAGAAGTGCGTTAAGGCTGTGCTTCAGAATTTAAGAATGACAAGTTACGCTAAAGGGATACTCAGGAACTAGCGTTGCTAAAACTGCTGCGATTTCGAAAAAGCCAATATTCAAGGAATTGTCGTATTTCATGTAAAAATAAATCAACGAAGAAATTCCTAGAAACAAGGTGGGAAGGCCGTAATCCAGTGCCCAATATTCAATCAAGACATTATTTTGTGAGCGCAGAAAGCCACGTTCTTTTTTTTTCGGCGATTGCTTGTAAATAAAAACTAGAGAAAACTTCCACTAGAAAGCAGTAGGGTCTAAGTTTGAGTTCATTATTTTTTTTGGTTCTCTTATATAAGAATTGTTATATTTGCTTACATTTTCTTCACAAAATGTTTATTAATGTTATTTGTCATATATTTTAACATTTCACAGTATTCATAAAAATATTTCAAAATAAGAGAGTGAATGACACACAACACCCTTTGTATCCCCTAGATAAGAAAAAATATTTATCGTCAAATTAAATTTTATGCAAACATCATTTGATTAGATTTGTGTCAAAAAAGTATAAAAAATAAAATAACACCCGTTACGCCTATACTTTTTAGCTCCACATGTCTAAATTGCAAGTGTTATAGTAAGTTAGTATATTTAGAATAAATACCTCGTTATAAAATAAAATTCTTATTAAAATATCTAAATCAGAACGCTCGTTGAATGGAAATTATCCTTATTTAAATTTTTTGGGACAAAAAATTGAGAGTCCGGCCCTGCGCATCGTTTTGGGTTTCGTAACTTCTCGCCGCTAATTGTTCGTTCGGCTGTCGACAAGTTGTCGACCGTTTAATAAGGAACGTTTCAAAATTATCGACAGGCCGGTAATTGGACAATTTATATTATTGCCGGATGATAATTTATCGCCGTAACATGATATATTGAGGTCGAAACGTCGTTCCCAGGAAACCACACGATCATCGAAGACGACTTCCCCGCCGAGATCGTCGAGCGTCGCTCCCAAAAGCACCACTCGGTCGGTAAACGGGACATCTTCTTCGACGACTCGGGCAGCGATGACGTCATCTACGACGTCAGGGAATCGGCCGAGGAGATCTACAGGACGACGAGGGAGGTCGACTACGACGTCGGCTACAATCGCGGAAGCCGCGAGTATTTTGTGAAAGTCCTCGTCGTAGCTGACAAAGCGATGGTCGAGTACCACAAGACCACCGAAGAGCTTACCAGATATATTTTGATTCTGATGTCTCACGTAAGTGAAGAAAATTATCTGTTTAGGGTCAAATTATTTAGTAAAGAGTACGGTGAATTTTTTCATGAGCAATAAAATCCGAATTGTTATTTTGTTTAAGCTTTTATTTGTTTGTTTAGTAAGGAATACAATAATAAATAATGCATATAAAAGATATTCTTTCACAAAGTCACAAAAATTTGGATATTATTTTTATTCGGAATCTGATAGAACAGTACCCTGAATAATGCTGCCGGTACAACAGATTCGACGTTAATTTCTTCGAAGGATCCAGGAAGTACTGTGAACTGCATATCATCAATCGTATCCTCTTTGTATAAGTTCTTCACACGTTGGGCAATTTTATCCCAGTCCTCATTAGTAATCTGAAAAATTTTGCCTTGCAAAGATTTTCTACATCTGGCAACATAACAACTTTTAAGCAATGCCCATATTTTTTCTATAGGATTCAATTTAGAATGGTAAGGTGGCAAGCGGAGAACTTTATGCCCGTGTTTTTCTGATAACTCATCCAGTTTGTACTTGTTCGGAAATCTAAATTTATTTTCTTGAATTATCTCATAAATTTCAGGTTTTGGTATATCTTTTCTTCAGCCAGTCAACTAATTTTTCTGCTTGCACCACAGGCCCGTTGTGATATGCCGTGTTGTATATTATCAAAAACTGATTTCGGAGGCAAATTTGGCAATAATCGTTTCTCCACTCATGTCATAATATTTTTATTGTTCATTTCATCTCCCGATTTAATTCCTAATAGTGGATTAAATGTTATGTATTTATTAAGAGTTATTCAAATAATGTTTTTCGAATACAATTCTACCCAATAGCTTCATAATGAAGAACCTTTTATTTAAAATAAGACAACAATCATGGTTGTCGAAGTATGTAACTATTTTTGTAAACAAAAAGTAAACCAGATTGTTCGAATTGCATTAAAAGCACTAATACGGGAAAGTTCCATATTAAAATCGCAAAATAAAGGCTTTCTTGATAGACATAACCCGTCGCCTGCTCTCAAAAATACATATGGAAAACAATTAAATTGGTGCCATTAGAACAGTCATCGAACCAGCCCTTATCTTGTGTGCTATACACTATGATATATAACGGGTGTTCTTTTTCGATGTATAGAACTTTAAGTTGCAATAAAACAACGATGGATTATTCGATTGACATGAATTTTATTTATTCGAAAGATAATCTTGTGGCATTAAATTTTAAATATGATTTCTGGCATATGACCTATCCGGGTGGCGCGGATATAGTCCAATCAACATTTGTGGCCGTATATCGGCAATAACACCGCGAATGTTGTCTTCCAAATGGTCAAGCGTTTGTGGCTTATCCGCATAGACCAATGACTTTACATAGCCCCACAGCGGTGTTAAATCAGAAGATCTTGGAGGCCAATTCGCAGGTCCAAAACGTGAAATTAGGCGGTCACCAAACGTGTCTTTCAATAAATCGATTGTGGCACGAGCTGTGTGACATGTTGCGCTGTCTTGTTGAAAGCGCATCTCCTGGACATCATGGTTATTCAATTTAGGAATGAAAGAGTTAGTAATCATAACTCTATACCGATCACAATTGACTGTAACGTTCTGGCCATCATCGTTTTTGAAGAAGTACGGACCATAGATTCCACCAGCCCATAAAGCGCACCAAGCAGTCAGTTTTTCTGGATGTAACGGTGTTTCGACATACACTTGAGGATTAGCTTCGCTCCAAATGCGGCAGTTTTATTTGTTGACGTAGCCATTCAACCAGAAGTGCGCTTCATCGCTAAACGAACTTCGCTTATGAAAATCGGTATCAACGACAATCTCGTTTTGGGCCCATTCGACGAATCTACGCCTTACTTGATGATCGTTTGGCTTCAATTCTTGCACGAGTTGGATTTGGTAAGCACGTAAACCAAGATCCTTCCGCAAAATCTTCCATAAAGTGGATGGACACAGATCCAATTCCTGTGCTCGATGGCGGATGTACTCATTTGGGTCTTCCTCGATGCTACGCTCTACAGCAGCAATAGCTTCTTCTGTGCGCACTGTACGGCGTCTCTGGGGATGCGAGTTATCAATAAGAGTAAACGTGGTGCGAAAACGTTCCATGGTTAATCGAATTAACTGCTCTGATGGACGATTTTGTCGACGATAAAATGGATGTAGTGCGCGATACGTATTCCGCACAGAACCATTATTTTCGAAATAAAATTGCACTATTTGCAAGCGTTGTTCAGGCGTGAGTCTATTCATGATGAATTGCCAAACCAAACTGAGAATAAATCACTTGACAGCTGTTAAATCGGTAGCCATCTTGAACAGTAATGCCAACTTAAAGTTCTATACATCGAAAAAAACACCCATTATGATAAATATTTCATTCTTTTGAGGCAGATATCATGGTTTTCCACCTAAAGTTTATGCTTATCTTCTGTTTTTTGCCATCTGAAAAATCATGGAACTTTAATCTCTATTTCTATTGGTTAATTTTGCAAAATTACATCACACAACCATAATCGTAATAATAAATGAAGCCTATTTGGCCCAACAGAACCAACGCTTATCGTGTTATCAAGCAAAATCCATTTGCCTAATAGCTGAAAAATAACGAAGTAGGTATAATGGTTTGTTATTAAATTTTAAATCCTTACGTTTTAAAGTTGGTCGTCTTTTCTCCATAATATAAAAATCGTAGGCATTTCATTTGTCCTGGAGTGATAGGTCTCAGTTTCCTTGAAATCCTTCGCCTCTTTTCCTTAGGCATGCAAAAAGAAGACTACATGGGTTCCACTGACTTTTCTTAACTCTTTTTGAATCCTAGGATAGATTGATTTAGATACCTTGGTAGCAGTCAGACTTCTTGTCCTATAACTGTTTCGTTTGCATAAAAATTCGTTGTAGCGGTATAATTTTAGGAACCTCTTTGAGTGAAATTTCTGAAAAAAAGTAAGAATTTCCGATAAAATGTTATTATCGAGCTCAGCATGCCTCAAACAAATAGTTTCGAAAATACAGAGCAGTTCAATGTTTTAATTTTATTCTGAATTTTTTCATTGTTTTTGACATTACAATTACGAATTTGAAACTTATTTGGACGTTACTCCTAGGGGGCGCTAGTTTCTCGATATTATTTAGCTAAATGATTTTTTCGAGTTCTGATTGAAACATGATGGAATTCTGCAAGAATTTCCATTTTTTTTATAGAAACGCTCCTTCTACTCTAGGCTTTTGACTTATTTGCATTTCAAAAGTTCAAAGTATTTTCTCTGATTTTATTCATAAATTTCTTCGAGTTTTAGTCCCGACATTTACATTTTGTTCTGTAGGCGTTTGAATACCAGTATTCATGTTTTATGAACGTTCAGAAAAAGTTCTCTTGTGTTAAAGAATTCTTTCTTCGAGAGTTTGATAACAGTGTGTGGAGACTAAACTTTAACAGTTGTCGGCAAACTCTAGTTCACCCAGATGAGCAGAAAGTTCATTGATAAAAAGGACCAACAAATTGAACTTGAAGGTACAGGCTACGCTCCCTTTTATAATATATCTTTTAAATCAGTGAACTTGAAGTCAAAATTGGCTTCCGTTAGTCTTGGATATTATTTATAAGTCACAATTGATTTTCAGGTGGCTTTACTATTCAAAGAGCCGTCTATCGGAAACGCAATCAACATCGCTGTGGTACACATCCGCATATTAAAAGAAATAGACTTTACAAATTTACTGTCTCATGGTAAGTCAATGCAAGTGGTTGAAAACTGCGCTTGTAAAAAATTTACGCTCTGAAATGAAGAAAGCCAACACAACCTATATTTCTCGCAGCGTAAGGTTTTATTATAAGCTATAAGGGGTTATTTATAATTGTTTATAACATTACATTATCTATAAAACTTGTTGTCACTTGAGATTTAAAAGTTTATATATTCTACGGTAGTGAGAAACCTAATGAATGTTATCAAACCTATGGCCCACTACCAAACTTTTATCATTTAGAAGCACGCCGCTATATTCTTGAGGTTCTTAAGAACGTTAATAATTGTTTTCTAAAAGATGTCAGGATAAAATAAAAATCGTCAAACAGCAACTTTTATAAAAAGTTAGACTTTGCATACCTTTAAAATACCTCATTTTTTGTTTCATTCGAAAATTTATCTAAATATTTCTATAATAAATAAACAGTAACTCAGAAGCGAGGGTTTTGTGGACTAACAGGTCTTCCTGTTACTTTTAGATTTATACCGATTACGAATAGTTCTATAAGTACCTTTTTGGTACCTTATAATACTATAAGTATTTTAGCTTTTAGTTATATTTTTTTATTTACTTTATTTATCAGACCATAAATGTCCCAAAATTACCTTAGCTTTTATTGAAAGAGCAATTAGACATCTAGGTAATTGTTATAAAAGTTTCTAATATATTTACATATATAAAGTATAGTTTTTTCGAATAGACATGCAAAGAAAACATACATAGAAACTTGAAATATGCGATTATGCATTTTAATTATGTTGAAAACAAAAAACTTTTAGCGGCAAAAGCAATTAAGCAGTAGAATTTTCTAGATGTTATACTATTTAATAAAATATTTTTATAATAATGTCAATATAAAAATCTAATGCTGTCCGTCCATACAATGACAAGGAGACGAAACAAAATATATCGTAAAAAAATTATATAGACAAAGATGGAAAGGGGGCGTTCCTTGTTTGGTGTTTATAATGGCTTTTATAATGTATTTAGGTATGTTTTATAACGATAATGAAGACATATTCCTCGCAATTGTAAAACTTATTTATGGGGTATAAAGGCAACGACAACCTCTTAGTTGCAAACAAATGGGGAGTAAAAACTTTATATAAGACTAAAATTTAGTTAGTGTATCTTTATAAAAGAAAACTTTTCTCGAACAGTTCATAGGTTCTCGTTTTTTAGGCAATTAAAAGTATTATAAAACAAAAAATGTTAGTTAGGATTATAAATCAGATGGTATTCCCTTTCGCAGTAGCAAAGGCGTCTCGTCAAAGCTTATATTCTCTATAATTTCAGAGATGTTGAGCAAATTCTGCGAATGGCAGCAGAAACACGTCACCGATAGAACTCACGACGTAGCTCTGTTGCTAACCAGGTAAACCCGCGCACCTTCTCTTGGTTATTTCGCTTTGGTTGTACGCTCGGTTTCATATTACAGGCACACCATTTGCAAAGATTCGTGGTCTTGCAACACACTGGGCGTGGCTCAGGTCAATTCCATGTGCAGCCCGTCGGGATGCACCATCGTCAGAGACAAGGGCCTCTCCACGTCCTACACGATAGCCCACGAGTTGGGTCACGTGATGAGTATGCCCCACGACGAGGGTACCGATTGCGAGCCCCACAACAACGGCAAACCCAAGACCAACAGTATCATGAGCATGACCCAAGCCAAGAATGATTCCAAGCCGTTTACGTGGTCGTCATGTTCCAAGCACTACGTCACTGATTTCTTAGAGTGAGCGAACCAAGTCTTTTTTTTAATGCACGGTTAAATCTGGTTAACACACAGTAAAATATGGACTGTGGACATCAGCTATATACCAAGTGTGCGATTTACACAATTGATCATAAAACAAAAACACGCCTTTAAATATTGAATAAAAAAACTTATAGATAACACACATCAAAGTAAGGTTTTTCCGAAGTGTTTTTTATTCTCAATGGATGTCGCTGTAATCGCAAAAAACCATTTATGAATCTCACTATAGTGTTGTTATTTGCTTGTTTCTGAGAAAAAATGCATAACAGCAAATATTTTACAAAAATTATGTATACCCGTGCATTTAACGGAAACGGTCTATAGGAATGTTATTTTTACATTTTCGATAAGTTTAAAGATAACGGATAGACGAGTGGGTTGTAAAATGTGGGGGCTTAATATAAAATTTATCGCAAGAAACTTGTTGTTCCGTGTTTCTAAGAAAAAATGCATACCTGGTACATTTTTGAAAAGGTGAACAGAAGACAAATTCTATCTTAAACACTTCGAATACAGTGTTTTTGGAGCGCGAGCATTGAAGATGCCAAGTGAGATTTTGGCGAAACGTCTTCAGGATTCCAGTCGGATGCAGGATTTGCAGGATTCCAGTCGGAGTTCAACGAGCGAACGGATGATATCCTGGAGTATAGTGTCATCACATTTTTCCATCCGTGAATCAATACATATACAATATATACAAATACAATATATACAATATATATATATATATATATATATATATATATATATATATATATATATATATATATATATATATATATATATATATATATATATATATATATATATATATATATATATATATATAACTACTTTGTTTTTTAATTCTATCGACCATGTCACCAAATTATCTACATATTCCTATACCGTTTTTTAAGTAATGAAAGATTTTTATTGTGTTGGTAAAGTTGTCAAGAATGACATTACCGAATGAGATATCTAAAAATATATAAGTTTAAAAGAAATAAGCAAAGAACAGTTTGTTTTTTCGTTGTAAAACACTAGTTCTACTGCCAGCTGTGCCCACACAGCATCACAGAATATTGACGTTAATTTGTGTTCACAGAATACTTAAGTTGAGGTTAGTATTGCTGCCCTGGAAGTTTTTGCAATAAGTTTATTGTCGAAAAATCAGATGAAATGGGGTATAAATTAATTTAATTATAATTTTATTAAGAAACTGCAAAGTCTAAAGTCGTAATAATCCAGAATATGACCCAGTGGACGTCTCTTTTTAAAATCGATGGGATAGAAAAAAGAACGTACGTCGAACATTTTGTCCCCTACGAGTTAATCAATCGAAACGCATGTCATTTCTAGAGCATTTACGCGCGTAAACACGTAAAAATATTAATAACATTTTATCGCTAGTTAATTGCGCTATTAGCAGCGTGGTCGAGCAAAAATTGTAGCGCAAAGACATAAAATGCCCGCTAAAAAGGAAGAAACGACACGATTTCTTCGGAATTTCTAGGTTAAAGCTGCGTAAGGAGAGGAGAAAAGGTTTTCCTCTTTGTTTTATATTGTGGAGCGTGTCGTGGCATCAAATCGCGAGTTGTTACGCGAAAGATACCCAGCTCTTATATGGACGGCATAAATTAGGTTGATTATACACCACTTAGTTGTGTATACTCTTAGCAGTCCATGTCCGGAATTTTTGTTGGACCTGCTGCATAGATATTCACCATGAATTATGGATATTTATGTAAACCGCAGGGACATGTACCGGGTGATCATTTATAATGCGTTCCCTCCGCGGCCTTTTAAAGTTTTTTATTTATTTTTATTTATATTTATTTATTGGGAAAAAACGTCAAATACAAAAATAGTTCAAAAAATTGACAAGATATATTCTTTTATATGCAGAGTGTTGCAGAAATCACCCACGGATAGAAGTTATATATTTTTTAATGGAATAAATTAATATTCCCCAATATTTATCTTAGATGGCTGGCGTGACCGTTTTTAAAGATGTTTTAGATTAGCATCATTTCCGTTCATTTTTTCCACCATTGTATCGAAAAACTCAACCCTTTATTCTCGATGTATTTTCTTGAGCAATTTTTCATAGATTCGATGATAGGTTTTTTGTCTGGAATTTCTATTCGGGGGTTAATTACCTGTAGTTCCCTTTGAGCCAATTTAGCCCTCTTATTTGCTTTAACACACGTTTCCAAAATTAATTGTTTTTCTCTTTAAGAACACTGCACTTTATAATAAAAAGAATTTAAGTTTTGCTGGGAACTGGCAACGGTCACTGTCAGTTATAAACAAACATTTTATATTATAAGCGCATGTATCTCAAAAACGTATTATACAAGAAATGTGCACAATTTCTAATTGATTTTATTATTTTTATTTTTTTTTTCTACAGGGTAATTATTAATACAGGGTAATTCATTAAAAAATAGATAACTTATCTATGGGTGATTTTTGCAACATCCTGTATATATGAAATACATCTTGTATGAGCTTACTATTTTTTGAACAAGTTTTGTATTTGACGTTTTTTTTAAAACGTAAAATTAAAAGGTGTAACAGATAGAGTGGGATGGTCGCAGAACGTTAGAAATGATCACCCAAGAATTCTTGTGCGGCCGGATTTTTACGGTTCTTTTGATTATGTTCCCTATCTTAACGGCCATTGTTAATTAAAAAAGGATGAATATGGAATATGCAATAAAAGACAGGTTCTTTGAACGTTGAGCATTAATACTTAAAAACAAACGTATTTCAAACAATCCTCTCAGTTTAGTGTAAATCAAAATACCTTTAAAGGGATGTACTCGCATATTTTGAAAGTTTTCTTTTTTGCCATTCTATTTTTTTCATTTTGTTGTATTTTTTATGTTGTGAAAATGAAGACGTTTTCCTTTGTTTTCTGTTTGGGTGTTTTCTTATGTGTTTAAATAACTTTCGGATACTAAGGAAACAAACGACCGAAGCTACTTTCCTTGTTCGATAAAGATTTCATCTCAAAAGTCTTTCTTTTTATCAAATGCAGGAATAAAACTACAAAGAACCATAATATTGCTCGTCATTTGATTGATTTAATTGGTTTCTCATCTCTGATTGATCTTATAACAAATACAAAAAGTATAAACTAACTTCCAATTTATCTTTTAGTTTTAATGAGGTTTCCAGGCTGAAAAGTCTAAAAATATTTGACTTCTATAAAAACCGTCAATTACACATATCAAAAATATGTGAATTAGATGTTCAATATTTCCTGATTCTTGAAAGCCTCGCTAATATATCACAAGACCAATTAGTATCTTACCTAATCTATAAAAAATTTTCTCGAAGATACTTTCTCCTGAAAAAACAAGAAAAAGAACAAGATTATCCCGGATACACAGTCCGGATTTCGTAAATCTTTTGGAACTGTCACTGTGCTTAGAAAAATAACTGATGACTTGCTTTGCCAGGATGATGGAAATAAAGCGCCTTGCCTTATTCTGCTCTAGCTCCTTCTCTGTGACACAGGGAGTACCCCATGGTTCGATCTTTGAACCCTGCTGCTCTTAACATACATCTCTGACTGTTTTGTAACATGTATCTCTTAATAATTACAATTAAATACTCTATTCGATAGAATAGACTACGTCAGAAATCTTATAGTCTTAACAACGAATGAGGTTGATATTAAGTTAAAAACACACGCTAAATATCTGGGGCTATGAAGGACACTATCATGCGAATAACAAAACATGTCAATTGGTTCTGTCAATGCTCCGATGGATTGCGTAAGAGACTCTAACCAAATCGTAAAATAATGGGTTCAACCTTAAATCATCTCTATGGGATTAATTAATTATATCCAGGTTATCATATGTTTTGCTCCGACTTTATAAGCGAGGGATACTGACGCACTCCAGAAAGTTTAGAATGCTTACTTCAGATTTTCTTACAATATAAAAATATAACAGGATTAGTAGTCTTATACGCAGATCGAAACGTCTACATCTTAAATCAGATATACCTTCACCACACTCTTAGTTAAAAAACATTAAAAACCAACCGAATTATTTTGCGAAAAAACTTCGGGAGGTAAATAGTACTAATGCAAGAAAAAAACAGTTGCTTCTTTTACCTACAAAAAATAACGTTTCATTAATCTCCTGTATGATATGACCGAAAGGTTAGCAAACCATCTTACCAGGCGAGAACCATACCTTAAGAGTGATCTAAGATGCCAATATCTACAGAAAAAAAATATCATAATGCCAAACATGTCTGAAATGATGATAAGTTTCTTTTTTTCAGCTTTCTCCTCGTTTTTTGTTTAACTTTCATCCATTACGATTTGGTCGTTTATTAAAAATGCAAAAACAAATATTTATAGCTTTTGTTGTACGAGCCACGATTTTGTTCTCTTGGAAAAACCAAGCGCTATTAGATGTGCTACAATGCACAAACACAGATGAGAAGTTATGTTGTACACTCATTAACCTTCGCAGTTTTCAAAGCCATAGTTTATAAGTACTGTTGTTTTACTGTCGAGTACATTCCAACAACATCGAATTCCAGTTCATCCAAAGCCAAATGCGTCCAGTATCCCCCGATCAACAACCAGATCTTCTCCAACTTCACCTACATGCTGCCCGGCGACTCTTTCGAGGTGGACAGCCAGTGCGAGTTAGAATTTGGACCCGGCTATAGCATTTGTCCCCTGGAGACTAGCGGAGAGGTTAAGGGAGTCGTTTACTGTCTTACGACGTCACCGAACTTTTGGTGTTTCGTTTTCCAGCCTCCATGCGGTCACCTGTGGTGCATCAACTCGAGAGGCGAGTGCAGGAGTCAGTTGTCGCCTTGGGCGGAAGGCACCAAGTGCGGACCACGCAGCTGGTGCTACAGGCGGCAGTGCATATCGGACGATAGACGCAGTTTCGTACCCATAGACGGCGGTTGGGGGCCGTGGCAGGAGTGGGGACCCTGCAGTCGTACCTGCGGAGGCGGAATAAGGAAGTCGATCCGGTATTGCGACTCGCCGAGACCGGAGAATGGCGGGTCGTATTGCCTCGGTGAGAGCACGCAGTACAGTTCCTGCAACGTGCAGGACTGCGACGAAAACGCCAAAGAGTTTCGGTTAGTTTTGATTAAGACTGAAAGGATAGTAAACCTTTTTTAAAAATTTAAACTGTAGAAAATTTTCCATTTTACTGCTCTGCAGTGCTCTGAAATAGCCACCATTAGAAAAAAAAATCTTGTTGGTGGTTTTATATTTTTTTTTTATTTTTTTATTATTGCCAAAACAAGCGAAGACGTACAGATTTAAATTTAAGTTGATGTGCTATCACAGAACCACCTTAGGATAATTACTAGCACCGGCTCTTTGCAGCACATTGTCTATTATCAAAACGAATCTCGTGACGTCATCAGTAACCAAAACTTTACATATTTTATGCGAATTTAGCCTCGTCATTAATTAAAATTCATTCTACAGGGCGATACAGTGCGCGGAATTCAACGGCATCACCAAGAACATCCCGAATTTGACCAACGACACCGAATGGGTGCCGAAATACGGTCTGGGTAAATACAAAGCAGAACCGCCATCTGCTGAAACTAAGATCAGTCGATTTGCACAGGCTCGGCCAAAAATCCGGACGACTACTGTCGACTGTACTGCCGCCCGCAGAACTCGAACGCGTACTACATGCTCAAGGACAAGGCTGTGGACGGCACTAAGTGTGGCAAGAGCGGTTTCGACATCTGCGTCAGCGGCACCTGCAGACCAGGCGGGTGCGACAATCAGCTCGATTCGAAGAGGGCGCTCGACGAATGCGGTGTGTGTGGCGGCGATAACAGCAGTTGCCAGGAGATCACGGGCACTTATAACAGTTCCGCGGATCAGGTCGGGTACAACAGGGTTGTGCGCATCCCGAAAGGCAGTTCCAACCTGAACATACGGCAGCGAAGCCACGGGAACGACGAGAATTTTTTAGGTAACGCCCCTTTTTTCTGCTTCTCTGTATAACACGTGTATATGACGTGATATTCTCTACAAAACTGATAAAAAGCAACCGAAATTGAAACATAGGTTTCAGTTTACTTACGCAAAATTTTGACGAATAAGTCAGAATTTCTGAGAAACAAGTCAGAATATCTAAGAAACGTGTCACAATTTCAGAGAAACAATTCAGAATTACTGAGAAACAAGGTAGAAGTTTTGACATATTAAATATACAGGGTAAATCTTAAAGAATGGTCTCTGAACTGGAGGAACTATATTGAGCTGAATAAATGACGTCGGTTTCGGAGATATAGGGTGGTTCAATGATTTAATTTTGTTCTGAATTTTTTTCGTTTCACTTGGGAAAGTTTTTATAGTAAAATATTAAAAATTGGCAGTTTTAGGTTTTATTATGAATTATGAATTATCTTAAACAATTTTCAATTTTTCATATACTTGTTTGCATTCAAGTGCATGGTATTTTTCTGAATTTTTTATAAATAATAAAAAGATAAGTAATAGTGATGAAATAAACTTCAAAACAAAGTTCTAACTTATTTATCGAAAACATTTCTTATTATATATATATATATATATATATATATATATATATATATATATATATATATATATATATATATATATATATATATATATATATATATATATATATATATATATATATATATATATATATATATATATATATATATATATATATATATATATATATATATATATATATATATATATATATATATATATATATATATATATATATATATATATATATATATATATATATATATATATATATATATATATATATATATATATATATATATATATATATATATATATATATATATATATATATATATATATATATATATATATATATATATATATATATATATATATATATATATATATATATATATATATATATATATATATGATGACACTATATTCCGGGATATCATCCGTTCGCTCGTTGAACTCCGACTGGAATCCTGCAAATCTTGCATCCGACTGGAATCCTGCAGACGTTTCGCCAAAATCTCACTTGGCATCTTCAATGCTCGCGCGTGTTCGAAGTGTTTTCGGACGGATGATATCCCGGAATATAGTGTCATCACATTTTTCCATCCGTGAATCAATACGTGAGAATATATATATATATATATATATATATATATATATATATATATATATATATATATATATATATATATATATATATATATATATATATATATATATATATATATATATATATATATATATATATATATATATATATATATATATATATATATATATATATATATATATATATATATATATATACGGCCGACGGAGTCTATCGTACCCCAAACGCAATTCAAAGCGGTGACAACATGTGTAAGAGATGGCGCGATTCAGTTTCGTTATTTTCGACAAGGACAAAATATTTTGACCACTTGACTGACTATGACAAAAAATTCTAAGTACCCATTTTCTCGTAATTCAACAAAAGTTCAAACATTTTCTTAATAATATAACAAGTAAAACTATTTAATGATAAACAAGTCGTAAACTATTTAACTGATAAATAACAAACCAAAATTAATCAAGAGAAAATTGACTCAACTGTTATTTGAAAATCAAACGGTTTACATGATTTATTTTTATGCAATTTTAAAATATAGCACAAAAACAAATTAATACTCATTTGATGCTCAGCGTCAATTCGGAACCATAAAAACCTAGATATTTCTATAAGCCTTAAGGAAAAATATAATACGTTGAAAGAGTAATTTTAATCCCGTTTTAAATATATAGGATGTTTTATAAGGAAATTTTAATTTTCTATTAGCAACTCGCAACCGATGCTTAGTCGTTGTTGCTTAGTAGCTTAGAAACGGTGTGGTTAAATTTAACCTATTTTGAAAACTAAAGAAGTTACGTAGGCTTGTTTAAGTTGCATAGTTTTAAGAAACGCTCTCTAGCGACGAAATAGTTGCTCTCTTCAAATAAGCTGTGGTCCTATAAAAAAATAACTTGATTGGCCCACCCTATACTTTGAGAATTTTGATATCTTAAGATAAGGGGTTGGAGGATTCAGAACTGACATACTACTACTACTTGTGCTCTCATCGAAAATACGTATGCGAACAAGCCCGAAGTTGGCCGAATCGATAACGAAGAACCCGAAACATCTTGTCTGCGTACATATACGGGGTCGTGTTCGAAAGTAATTCCATAAATAAAAAATAAATAAATAAAAGTCAAGGGAAGTTGAACCTTGATTTTTTTCAGCTTTAATCGACGGGGAAACCGGTCAGTACATATTAAACGGAAATCAGATGTTGAACATGCAAGAAACCGACGTGAAGTTCGATCAACTGACGATCAAGTACAGTGGCGTGTCTTCGGAAACCGAATGGATAACAACCCCGAAGAACCAAAAGCTGAGTAAAGATTTGATAGTCGAGGTCCTGTCCGTGGGCGGTCTGTCGCCGCCCGACATCCTCTACAGATACGTCATCGGCAAGGACGCCGCCCCGAGGTAAGCGACTTACCGCTTGGTGAAAAGTTTATAGTCCGCGACTCGGTCGAGTTTATATTAAATCGTTTTTTCTTGCCCCCTAAATAGGTTGTCGAGGTACACCGGGTATAATTATTACCGGGGATACGGCAAAAGGTATCGGTAAACGCGCTTTCTGTGTAGACACGTCTAAAATTGTTACTTATTTTCCGAAATTAATCAGCCGCGGGAAAAAATCTATGTTTGGTGTATTAAAATCTTCTAAATTTTCTGTATTAACATGGTTGACCTACGAGGGCGTCCCGACAAGTTTGTGATAACTATCGCTGTCTTTATCGCTTTGCGGTGGTTAAAACACATACATATCTGCTCAGTGTGTTTTTTCGTTAATATAGGGTATAGACTACATGGTGGGAGATCCAAAAAACTGAGATATATGTCCCATGTTCTTCTTTAGGTTTATTGATTCGATCAGACTGGATTAGAACTTACCCGTTTTTATTACCTCCTATCACTCGCTTATTTATCTAGATAAAAAACCTTAAATACAAAAGTTTTATGACTTTTTCATGTAGTTAAAAAATTATGGACGTTTTAAGTTTCGAGATGTACCTATTAGAAAATAAATCTCTTCTTACACCACGGTCCGCGATGGGAGATTTCCATGTGTCTGGCGCATATCAAAATAGCGAGAATACAAGCGACTTTTCTAATGATCTTTTGTCAACCCATAGCTGTTCTAACTAGCTGAATGCGACTTCAAATCTCTGTCTCGTGAGTGAACCTAAATATATAACTCGATCGACAACTTCGTAATTCGAAATTTCCGGTGGTAGAGGTTCACCTTCAGTCCATATTCGTCGCTTACTCTTTAAAGTCCCTCAATAATGTGGTTAGTTCTTCTTTGCTAGCACCTACCAAAAGAGTGTCCTTTTGCCACCAGCCTTGATTTTCCAAAACTAATCTCATAAGTTTTTAATCTTTACCGTCTGCTTTTTAATACCAAAAATGTCAGGAGATACCAGAAAAAAGAGTTTGAACATTATAAATGTCTGCTAAGCGTTTACATGAAAAATACCAAATTAGACGTCTTTAATACTATTTACAAATCTTCTGGATTCCTTTTGGGAACTTGCTGACGACAATCACTTTCTGTACCGAACTTAAAAATTGTTTGAGGGAGGCGGAGCAGTTAAGATTGTTTGGTTGGTTTGATTTTTCGTTAGTAGAAGAATTGATTACATTCAAGAATTCTAGTTTTATCGAATAAAATTTGATGTCCGGTTTCGTGATTGCGTTTATTTGTCGTAGTCTTAAGGCCCTTTCATCTTCTTTGGTTCCCGTTGATATTTTCCTCTCTCGTCAATGTATTTTTTGCTGCATATGCTTGGAATGTATGGAATTTTGTCTTTGACAGATCGAACATGTTGAGATGCTTTTGGACAAGTCGTAAATCTGGTTTTGACGTTATATTTCTTAAGAACATTTGATATCTGGTCAGTGACGTTTTGAATGTAAGGAAGGACAGCAACGGCACCTTCCAACCCCCGCCTCCTCGAACAATATATAAGCAGGTACAGAGCCAGTCCTCGAACAATATATAAGCAGGTACAGAGCCAGTTGCAATGAAACTTTGAAGAAATCATCAGGATGATTGGCGATGATGTTCGATTCGATTTCAGTCGGCGGTGGATGTTTCTTTGAAAAAAAAAGAATGTTGTAATCTAGCAAAAAACGTGGAACTTTTAGAGTTTGTTAGGGTTAAATATTAGCCTAATTTTTAAAAAGCCCATCTCTGAGTTAAGAAATCAGTATTTAAATAAAAACTTGTTGTATAACTCGCTGTCACTTATTCCCTCCAGTTTGAAATTGCTAATATATATAATATCTTGTATGGCCCTTGCTTAACGGCAAAGAATGCACAGAAAATTCAAAAAAATCAGAAGTGTAAGATTTATCTCTACCATTAGAAGAGGTAGACCAGTTACCCACAAATTAAACGATATAAACTGACTTAATTTGAAGTGTAGACGCAAATTGCACTGCGCACACAATAATTTCATTGAAAAATCCACAATACCGCTATAGAAAGGTAGAGTTTCGTACCAAAGTTCAGAATTTGATGTAATAAGATGTAAGAGAGTTCATCTGATTAAAATTAAAATTAAAATTTCACACATATTCTTGTTTCTTTGTCGATGGATCTTTTTTTTTGTTTTTTTTTCTGTCGATTGCACTATATATTTATCTATATGTATAATTATTATATGATTATTATTCTTATTATTATAATCAAAGGAAAGACAGCCCTGCCTAACATTCTTGCAAATGTTTTCGGAAAGAAAATGCTACATTTTCACCACAGAACTGCAGAATACAGTTGCTAGATATCTGTTAGAACATATCCAGCAGTACATCTCAGATTTTCTCCCGTTTTATATTGTGAAATGTTTGAGAAATCTATGAAGCAGAGATACAGGGTGATTGTCGCAGATTGTGGTGTCACATTTTTTATGTATAGGAATTATAATAGGTGTTGGCCATTTAGCAGATCTCCATACGGTTTGACAGAGCATTTGTGACGTGTGAACCATTATTCCCTCAGACTCTTCCGTATCTCGCAGGAATTTTATCAATCCTCACGTTTTTTTTTATTTTTTAAATCTGTCCACAGGGTCTCTGACTTGACTTAAGAGGAAGTATCAGTTTCGAGTTTTGCGCTTGTAGCGTAATTAACCATTGCTATATTTTTGTAGAGGTTTTCCCGATCTCCTCAGACATTTAAGTGCTTTATTATGTTCAGTCTGTCATGTCATTCTTATCTCTTACTGAATTTGAATAAAATAATAAATAAAAACGAAAGAATTGGTTTCCGGTATTTAAGCTATTTAAGACGGAGACAAAATGATAAGTGTTATGTATTTTTTAGAAATTCAGATCCAAAGAAGTCCGGTTTCATTGTTTTAAGGGGCCACCTAGTTATTCCTCTATTAAACAAAACACTGTAAAGGAGAACAGGACCCATAACTCTGTTTTTTTGGATCTCTTACCCTTTCCCAGACGATTATTACAACTCAACAACAACAGCACTTTTAATATAATACTAAAAGTTATAAAATTTTTAAAATAATGTCTATCGTTCTATCGTTGCATTATAACATCGTCACAGACCTACGTAACGCATATTTCAGCACGAAAGCGTTAAGTTGTAAATTCACATACCGGAGTTGTAAGAAAATTACGATACGTCCTTCTGACGTCACCACGTTAACTTACTGTCTAAAACTTTCTAACCACTATTTTACGTATTTATGTCATCAGTATTATGCAATATTTTGAATTTAGCTTGTATTTAGCCGTCAGGTAGGTAATGTATTTTGGTTTCGATATAGTAGCACGATCTTTTTGTAAAAACAAGTGTTAACCCATAAAAAAGATTTCTTGCAAACTTACGCTAACCCCAATGCTTTGATTTAACCTTCGCTTGGCACCCGCACTGGAAGTGTAAAAACTATCCACTATTTCGCAACTTCCAAAGCATCCGTCAGCGGGTGGAGCATATAGAGTGATTCGCATTAAACACCGACAAAAAAGTTAAAATCCATAACGAATGGTATATAAGTTTCACTATTTTAAAATTTTTTAAAATATTACATACTTTTTAGCTATCGTATTTAATGACAATGTTAGATTATTCTGATTTTTGACACCCAATGTTTATTTTTTTAACTATCTTCAATTTGGCCGACGATATTGTGTCTTTTTAAGCCTATAGAAATTCACAAATTACAATGACAATTTGGACACAAAGTTTAAAAGAAAACCAATACTGTCGGCAATATTGCAGCAATAAAAAAAACAGCATCCTGACTTTTTTTATTATTGCTTTAAAAAAAATTCTAAAAACTTTAGAAATTAAATGAACGTGGGTCAAAAAGTGTCAGACAAAATTTGTCTTTCAAAATAATGATTTTGCTGTAATTATTCGCGAATTGGATCAGTAGACAGACATCATTCCCGCTGCTGATATAAACAAAAGCCTACCTCCTTTTTCGTCAAAATATCTCTTACATTATCGACGTTTCGTCCATTTTACTGCCTTCTTGCAGACTCTGAAAGAGATTACATGTACTTATATAATGTAAAAATTTACATAAAGAAACAAAAAAATATCCCTTGATGTAAATAAACTTATATAAAATCATCATAATGAATGGTTTTAAGCAGCTTTATTTTTTATATATGGGATGTTAAAAAACGGGTTTCCCTCGTTTTCATTGAAACTGCTTTAGCTATCCACCAGTGCATGCAGAAACCCGCGAAAATTAAAAATATAAAAATAAACACTTTATTAATTGACAACTATGTGTCAAGATGGATGGATGGAAGAAAAAGTTGCAATGGAAAAATGTCATTTGTTTTCATTTTTGCAAATTTGTCTAATCAATCGACTTTAATTTACGAACACCATTTTAAGGGTATGTGATCTCCTTTAGAGGCAGTAAAACTGAAAGGAAAGTGATTTTTATTAACCTATCACAAAATTCACCATACCTAGAGCAAAATCTTGAAAAACTTTAATTACAAATGATGGTTTTTGATCTATTGCCTTTAGGTAACCATAAACTAGAAAATATATCAAAATAACATAATTCGCATCGTTCTAAATATATTTGTATATATTTTAATTTAATTTCAGAATTTTTCTTCCTGATTTCAAAAATGCCGATATTATCTTTAGCCGTTTTTCCATTACTCACGTTTTAATTTTAGGTGAAATTACTAAAACTTCCGTTAATTATTAATTATTTTTTTAAAATGGCCTTCAAAAAACTTATTAGTACTAATATAAAGTCATATCCATGTCAGATAAATTTGTGAATTATTATGAAAATAATTAAAATACGCTGTAATAGAAGTTATGTCGAACTGAGGTGGCTTTTACTTGATGAAAATCCATTTATCAAAATAAATAAGAACTAAAAGTTCAGATTGTCACGAAATTATATATTATGACATGATATTTGTTTCAACAACACCGTGTCTTTATCAAATGTTTCATTTTGATAAAGCCTTAGTGTTGTCGAAAAATATAATTTCGTGAAACTCTGAACTTTTAGTTCTTACTTATTTTGAGAAGTTATGTCATTTTGATACATTTTTAACTCTTTTTTTATAATTGCCCACAGATAATAGATGAAAAACATCGCATCTTTAGTATTTAATGTTTTTTATAACTCTCCATGATTTCGCTGTAGGTATAATGCAAAATGTAAACAAACACCATGTAAAATCGCTGGATTCGTTCTTTACGTTCTTTCATAATGTATATGTATCGATATCAAAAGAGATAAACTAAATTTTCACAATTCACAATTTCACAATATGGCTAAACCTCGCCTGGGATACCCCCGCTGACGGTGTAGTTAGTACGCACACACTAGCACGATTGACGCACTAAATAACGCGCGCGCGTGCGCACACACACGCCACAGTGCGTCCGTTTCCAGATACGGCTGGCGCCTGTACCAGAAGGAGTGGTCCAAGTGCAACTCGATCTGCGAGGGCGTCCAGTACCGTAAGCCGACGTGTGTGGAGCTAATCAACGGCAACGAGGTCCACAGCAGTTACTGCGACAATTCGGACGTCGAAAGCGCGACCGAGAAGAGACAGTGCAACGCGCACTGCGAGCTCACTTGGTACATCGTGTCGAAGGGACCTTGCTCTCCGCACTGCGGCAAGGGTTACCGACGCGTCCACTACAACTGCATGAAGATATCGAAGAAGAAACAGAGCTACAGCGAAATCGTCGACGAGAAGCACTGCAACGTTCTGGCGAAACCACCCTCTTCGGAACCGTGCTCCACCGTCTGCAACACCACCAGGTGGGATTACTCGAGCTGGTCGGAGGTGAGTCGAGTTTAGATCAAAGATTCTTCAGATATACCACTCCATCAAAGTATTAAGAATATTGATATTCAAGCCAAAATTGCCACACCTGTGTAAAGAATTGCAAATCTTTTGAATTTTTCAAGGAAACTTCCACAGGCTACTGTAATACTTTTTGCAAATATTCTGGGTTCATCCTGCGTCGGTGCGTTGATAAATCGAACTTGCTGGCGTTTTTTCTAATCATCTTGTTGTCTTCTTCAGAGCCTAACTGAACCTGTCTTGAATTCTGCTTATATACTGGTTGAGAGTGCGCAGCTAAAGGACGGACATGAGCATCGTGTCGGATGACCGATTCGCATATTTTGTTCGGCTACTGCTTTTGTACATTGAGGCCCCTATGCCTACTATACATGAGGTGGGGACCCACTAACCCCAAAGCGGTGGACACAGGTACTGCGCAGGTGAGACAGGTATTGATTTTTGGCGAATTTTAAATATATTTGATCACGGCTGCCGTTTTGGAATCTTAAAATATATTTGACAGTTTTGAAAATGCTTAAAAAATTAACATTTTGAAAGTATTTGACCAGATCTGCCATTGAGATATATTATTCGTTATAGTTTTAAAAACTTATATTAATAATGGCAGACGTTTTTATTGAGTACATGTATGCTTACACTGCCTATAGCTATCTTTTTTCTTTCTCTTATGTATTACTCTTCTACTCATTCCAGCTTATAGTATTTTATTTTATACCTACTACCACTTAAATAATTTAAGGTTTAAACCCGTAGATGGCTCTGTTATAATCCCAACCTAACGGTTTTTGTCAGATGTTTTCAGTATGTTTGTGAATCTGTATACCGATGCCGCGTGTTTAGTGAATTTAATAAAATACACAGTGTTGCTTTATATTATTTTACTTTAATTAAACTATTATTCGTTAAATATTTCTGATGTTATGTCGAGTGAAAAAGAACTAGTGAAATGTGTTTTTTGTGCCACAGCAAAGACTGAGAAATTATTGACATTTTCAAAAGAGAGAGAGATGGAAAAATGTCGACAAATTTTGAGGTTAAGAAAACATAAATTAAAATACAATAAAATAATTTTGAATTTTAAATATATTTGACCACGGCTGCCGTTTTGAAATCTTAAAATATGTTTTATTATTATCGAAAAATAATGGTGGCAGACCATTAGCATGCGGTTAGTATTATGGCAGACAGTTTAGGAAATGCTCAAAAAAATAGAATTTTGAAAGTATTTGACCAGATCTGCTATTGAGATATATTATTCGTTATAGTCTTAAAAGATTATATTAATAACGGCAGACGTTTTTATTGAGTACACTCCTCAGTAGATAACAGAATCTTTATTACCCGGTCAGATAAATTTAATTTAAAATTAATTTTATCACTATATGTATAGAAATTAATTCTTTTTTATACTTTATATACTAAATTTTATAAGATTGATGATAAATGAAGTAGATATATTACGAAATAATGTGAAATATTGGGGTATAATGCAAGTAACAAAAAACAAGGTTAACCCTTCTTTATCTTCCATTGAATCGAACTCTGTAAAAATAAACTGTAAATTGTAAAATATAAATAATTAGTAAATTGATCCTAATATATTTGATAAAGAATTAATTTTTATCAACTTAGCAGGGACATTGGTAATTAAGTCGCTAACAAAAGATGGAACTTGATCTCCATCGAACCATTTAAAGACAAATGTGTTGTCTCGCTCAAGCCAATCATACTCCAATGGGCCCAAGGTTGAAGATTGCTTTTCGTAAGACTTTTTCCAAATAGTTGAAATATAATGGCTCTTAGAAGTTGTTGGTAGAGTTCACTCTTACATGGTGGTACTGAGGTTGCATCAAAATTTTGTATTTTTTTACTAAAATTTTCATTCACATCCGAAGCTTTGTAACTACTCACGGTACCACAGAGGGTGCTTCCTCCAACGACTGATCCAATTCAGCCCCAATATCTTTTTCTACGACTTCATCTGTCTCAGAAACGTTTTTTTAAAGCCGTAAACGCTTTCTAACTACTACTGTGATAAACAGAATCAAAAATTTCGTCCGGTAGAATTATTTTATTGTATTTTAATTTACAATGTTTTCCTAACCTCAAAATTTGTCGACATTTTTTTATCGTCTCTCTTGAAAATGTCAATAATTTCTCAGTCTTTGCTGTGGCACAAAAAGACACTTCACTAGTTCTTTTTCACTCGACATAATTTCAGAGATATTTAACGAATATTAGTTTAATTAAAGAAAATTAACATAAAGCAACACTAAACACGAGGCATCTGTATAGAGATTCACAAACATTCTGAAAACATCTGACAAAAACCGTTAGGTTGGGATTATAACAGAGCCATCTACGGGTATAAACCTTAAATTATTTAAGTGGTAGTAGCTATAAAATAAAATACTATAAGCTGGAATGAGTAGAAGAGTAATACATAAGAGAAAGAAAAAAGATAGCTGTAGGCAGTGTAAGCATACATGTACTCAATAAAAACGTCTGCCGTTATTAATATAAGTTTTTAAAACTATAACGAATAATATATCTCAATGGCAGATCTGGTCAAATACTTTCAAAATTTTAATTTTTTAAGCATTTTCAAAACTGTCGAATATATTTTAAGATTTCAAAACGGCAGCCGTGGTCAAATATATTTAAAATTCGCCAAAAATCAATACCTGTCTCACCTGCGCAGTACCTGGGTCCACCGCTTTGGGCTTAGTGGGTCCCCACGTCATATATAGTAGGTATAGGGGCCGCAATGTACAAAAACCCAGGTCTGGTAAAATACATGCAGGTAGCCGCCCCCTGGCTCTTAGACTATTAGTATATTTGTCGAGTCTTAGGACTCTTTCATGTTCTTTTAGCCTTTTTCTTTAGGACTTATGGTCAAAAATCCTTTCGTAATTTTTGTAACTATTTAAACTTTGTACACCCTAACATACTGTCGATATACAAGACAAAGTGACCAAGTCCAATATTAACAGTTTTAGACTATTAATATTTGAAGATTTATGAACAAATATAAAGTTCAATTATTTCTTGTAACTTTATTTTTGATTTTGGTTAATCTACTGCAATAGTCAAAATACGTTAAGTATTGTGTTATAATAGTCATATACCTATTATTTTGGATATTGGCAGTGGCTCTGAGTAGCACTTTTTTAAATCTGATTCTTCCGGGCTACTACTGAGTCTACCCTTTACTTTTCCTCTTACATTGTATTCTTCATCGTAATTGTACCTGAACAATATTAAATTTTTTGTTCCTTTTTCATATCGGAGTTGTTTGATCTTCAGCCATTCTACTCTTTGACTACTTTCGTCTCGAATCGTATTTTTTAATGTTGATTTGCTAAATTCTTTAAGATTGATAAAATCATTGTACGTCAACTGGTGAATATTATATGCCTTGGAAATTTTATTTTTTCCTCACTTGCCGTCGTTTAAGCAAAAGACAGGGATATACATTTTGGCTGGTTCTGTTGCATTATTCATCCAATTTGCTTCCATGTGTGAATGGCCTTTTTCTAAAAAATTATGTATTATAATTCCTATAGGTCAAACTTGAACGATAAATAAAAAAAGGGCAACTATGTATTGGGAGTTTCGGAGCAATAATATCAGGAGAACTTTTTTTTACATATGGACTTGAACAATTGCGAAATATCAACTTGATTTGAACATTTTACTGTTACAAATTAAATTTTTGAAAATTTGGACTTTGCCACTTTTCTTGTATACCGATGATACGTTTTATCATTAAATTAGAAACTAATAATAATCTCCCATTCTCGAATATTCTTATTAATAAATAACCAGATTTGACATTGGATCATTCAATTTACAAAAAGCCTACGCACATAGATCGATACCTGAACGCATTTGCACATCACCATCTCGTTGTTTAGAGACTTGCCATTAATTCGTGGAAAGAGTATTTATTATCAGCAAGATGGTTGCCTTGCTCACAACGCACGGATTGTAAGTGAACTTTGGGAAGAGTTTGGACAATGTTGGATTGAAGCAAAAGACATCAGCCTGCGAGGTTGTGTGATGTAAATCCCCTTTTTTTTGAGGGAGATGAAAAAATATTATATATATTTAATGACAAAATTTTCCAAATCAGAGCAGAGTAGAATGAAAAAGGTGAGTTCCGTGTATTGAAGAGGGCGGCTGACTGATTCCCATATTGTATTCGGCATCTGCTCATTAGTATATTTGTCGAGTCTTAAGGCTTTTTCATGTTTTTTCAGCCTTCTTTAGGACTTACGCTCAAGAATCTCTTCGAAATATTTATAACTATTTAAACATTATTCACCTTAACATACCTACTTAGATATTCTTATTAATGAAAAGTCAGACCTAACATTGGGTCATTAAATTTACAAAAAACACAGATCGATACCTTAATGCATAGTCACATCTCCGTCCCATTTCTTACAGAGCCGTAAAACTATTTCAACCCGAATCACTGATCCCAGAATTAAAGCCCCTAATATCTATTCTTCCCTTAAACAATTTCCACAGAGTGGTTCATTACAAAATACGCGTTACCACAATGAGTCTAAAAGCTCCACACTATACTTCCCACTGTGGTCCTTTCTTCCAATCCAAAGCTTACTGACCTCGTATCAAAAGCTCTTGAGAAATATAAAGCTAAAACCAGATTTACCACTTGGAAGTACACCAGTAGTTTACAGCATTCCTTGTATATGCGGTAACGGATATATTTTTGAGACACGAAGAAAAATATAAACTAGGCTTGAAGAACATGAAAGAGAACTGAGACTACAACAGACTACATAAGATCCTCAGCAGTTGAGAACATAATTATGAAACAAAACATCAAATCTTGTTCGATCAAACTACAATTCTTTCATGTACTGAATTCTTTTACCAAAGACAAATCCGAGAATCGATATACAGCTGTAAACACGGAACAATCTTAACTGCGTCTCCGGTCTTTACCTGTTTACGTCCCTCCTTTAGCTCCGCCCCCTCAACCCAATATATAAGCAGATACGGAGGAGAATGCAAGTTTTATTTAATCTCTGAGAAATTCAACAGGATGATTGGCAAAACGTCAGCAAGACGCAAGAGGAATCCAGAACATTTCTATTTATAATTGCAAATCATTCGCAAAACAAAATTCTTTAAAAAACAAATAGTAATGTCGCTAGATTACCTTTGTACATCAAAATGTAATGAGAGATGAGAAAAGTATGTCACAATCAAGTTCTTGTCTAACAGAATTTCTGATGTACAAATTTAATCTTAGTAGTGTAACTACATTTCTTCTGCACCCTCTCACATTTTGATGTATAAATTTGGAAGTTACTTCTACACCCTTCATGTCATATGTGTGATTTACTTTCATTTTTTGGAAATAACATGACATATGACAACTAGGCTGTTGTACTAAACCGTCAATTTATGATTTCCAATTTTCTTACTAAAATTAGCTCTCAATTGTTTATAAGGGGTGTTTTTTTTTCGATGTATAGAACTTTAAGTTGCAATAAAACAACGATGGATTATTCGATTGACATGAATTTTATTTATCCGAAAGATAATCTTGTGGCATTAAATTTTAAATATGATTTCTGGCATATGACCGCCACGGCTGGCGCGGATGTAGTCCAATTTGGAATTCCAATTTTCGATGACTTTTTCCAACATTTGTGGTCGTATATTGGCAATAACACAGAGAACGTTTTCTTCCAAATGGTGCGTTTGTGGCTTATCCGCATAGACCAATGACTTTACATAGCCCCACAGAAAGTAGTCTAGCGGTGTTAAATCACAAGATCTTGGAGGCCAATTCACAGGTCCAAAACGTGAAATTAGGCGGTCACCAAATGTGTCTTTCAATAAATCGGTTGTGGCACGAGCTGTGTGACATGTTGCGCCGTCTTGTCGAAACCGCATCTCCTGGACATCATGGTTATTCAATTCAGGAATGAAAGAGTTAGTAATAATAGCTCTATACTGATCACCATTGACTGTAACGTTCTGGCCATCATCGTTTTTGAAGAAGTACGGACCAATGATTCCACCAGCCCATAAAGCGCACCAAACAGTCAGTTTTTCTGGGTGTAACGGTGTTTCGACATAGACTTGAAGATTAGCTTCGCTCCAAATGCGGCAGTTTTGTTTGTTGACGTAGCCATTCAACCAGGAGTGCGCTTCATCGCTAAACAAAATTCGCTTATGAAAATCGGGAACAACGGCAACCTGGTTTTGGGCCCATTCTACAAATCTACGCCTTACTTGATGATTGATTGATCTTCCATAAAGTGGATGGACACAGATCCAATTCCTGTGCTCGATGGCGCATGGACTCATTCGGATCTTCCTCAATGCTATGCTCTACAGCAGCAATAGCTTCTTCTGTACGAACCGTACGGCGTCTCTGGGGATGCGAGTTATCAATAAGAGTAAACGTGGTGCGAAAATGTTTCATGGTTAATCGAATTAACTGTTCTGATGGACGATTTTGTCGACAATAAAATGGGCGTAGTGCGCGATACGTATTTCGCACAGAACCATTATCTTCGAAATAAAATTGCACTATTTGCAAGCGTTGTTCAGGCGTGAGTCTATTCATGATGAATTACAGCTGTTAAAACGGTCGCCATCTTGAACAGTAATGCCAACTTAAAGTTCTATACATCGAAAAATACACCCATTATGTATTGGGATTAGTTTGAACATTCAATGTCAGTTAAAAACAAAAAGACTTGAAAAAGTCAATATCTCATTTTACGAGCAATAGGTTGAAAGTGTTTTCTTAACATAATCCATTTGATTGATCCTGTTTAGGTCGGAATTCAAATAACGGCCTTAACTAAACTCGACTAAAATTTTAATTTCCCGCTACACTGACGAATGCACTGGTTGCTCAGTCCCAACTGAACGCTTTTATTTTAGTCCTTACACTAGTAACTCTGATGGTTTATTGTATTGTATTGTTTTATTGGCAATCAACATTAGGTTGTTATACTGAAAGTAAACTTGCATCATAAAAACGTTGGCTAAAAAACAGCTATTAAACGCTTAAAGTTCTCTTAACAAATTTGGAAAAAATAATAGTTTTCCTTAGTTCTTAAGTTTAAAACATGATATCCCGATAATCAAGCAATGCTAATAGCAGAAACAGAATCGTCAGCTAACTGAGATAGGCAACTGCCAGTGAAAATTGGGAAAACATATTTAATAAGTTCAATAAATAACAGAGCACCCCATTTAGAATATGAGTTTCACTACCATGAATTCTATTATTAAAAAAAAATCAACCAGGCTGTCTTTCAATTTTGATCTAAACTGAGATGAACACGCCTGTAGAAGTATGTTTTCCAATTGCGAATTGCATATTTGGAAAAAAATGTATTTCGAGTCTTAAAAAGTCAATAGATGCATGTAAAATACTTTCTGCATTTGCATGTTTTAAGATATACGGATGGCTCAATTCAATCTTTCGTAGCGTCCATGAAGTAGTAGTAGTACAATTCGATGCTTCTACACCCTCCGTGTCACATACGGTTATACAAATTCCATCTGAATTCCATGTTCTATCGGCGGTGCTTGCGACAGATAAATCTATACGATAGTTCAGAAACTAAAGATTTATTCCGTAAAGACTTTTAAAATAAATACAATGCCGGTTATTGTGCGTTGCCTGAGAACATGGCGCTCGCGCATCGATTAATTAGTATAACTGTAAAGACATTCGATAATTATCATTCTCTTAGTGCTCCAAGACATGCGGGGGCGGTACCCAGAGGCGTACGGCAAAATGCGTCGACGAAAACAACGTTTCCATCGACGATTCCCATTGCCGCAACGCCGAGAAGATCGTCGACCAAATGTGCAACACGGAAAAGTGTCCTGTGTGGATGATAGCAGACACTTCTGCCGTAAGAAGTTGTCGCGTTTCGAATGTTTCTCGCATCGACCGTCGTTTTTCGTTGCAGTGTTCGGCACCCTGCGGCGGAGGTTACGCGAACATAACCTATTATTGCGTGCTGGGCGGTCGGATATACGACAACCACAAGTGCGACCCCGCCCTCAAACCTCCCGACTCGGAAAGGTGTAATGAGCGGGCTTGCGGTAGATGGGCCCCCCAAGACGACTACCTGCCTTGCTCGGTCACGTGCGGCGAGGGCGTGGAGAGGCGGTATTACGTGTGCAAAAAGTTCGATTCGGAAGAGGTGTTGGACAGGAAGTACTGTAGGGGTTTGAGGATGCCCAGAGAAGAGTCGAGGCCTTGCTACCGGGGAGAATGCGAGGAGATGGATTACTTTAAGATTACCGTAAGTGGCGCTTGTCTCTTCCAACATTTTTCATAGCTTAAGGTTTTGTTATAAGGTATAGCGAGTAAAACACCTTATAACAGTGTTTATAGTTTTATTATAAAATCATTGGTATTACAAGTTTTATTATTATAGTTTACTTCATAAAACCCTTATAAATCCTAATGTACGTAATATTCTACAGCTACTATGAAACTTTAGAAATGCAATACAACTTTTAGCCCATTCCTTTTGATGTAGGAGGGGGTTACTATGTTTTTGAGGTTGCGATGTTTAATAATTGTTTCCTTAAATATAGTAGCTGTTTTTATAGAGAGTGTGCTTAATAGATAATATTCATGTACTCATTTTGGGTCCAAAATCAACTTACGTTTTTAACTTTTTATGGGGCCAAAACGACACCCCATTGGCCTCGTTTGAAAAGACCATCAAAGAGGGTGCGGATTTTATTTGATTTTCCCGTTACGAAGGTTTTATATGTACCAATTTGCTATATAAAACTATAAGTATTCTAAAATCGTCTTGAAAAAAACAGTTCTTTTTGAGAAGTCTTTCTTAACTTTTGGAATTATCTCCAAAATAAATACTTGGATAATATACATTACGGTGTAGGTGTTAATGGCATCAGACATATTTGCTCATTTTAACATTTAACTTTGTGTTTGTTGTGGAAATGAAATGCATATTTTAAATGATCTCTTAAGAAAACAGCTATGGAGTTTGAAATAAATGAAATATTCTATTGGGTGCTGCGTTACGTTCCAATTTCGACCTTAGGTCATATTTCCAGTAAAGTAAAGAATTACCTGGGTATTTGGGTTTTATTAATTAGGTCACGCTTCTCGTGCTAATTCCATTCTAGTGTGTTTGGTACTTTCCTTCAGATTAATTTTACTTTATGTTTCTGACTGCTTTCTTCTTTTTCTCTGGGAAGATAAATCAGTCTTTATTTACAGATACTGTTTTTTGCTATTGATTTTACCTTGCTTACCTTTGCTTCTATGTTCGGATGTATAAATAATGTAATGGTATAGCGGCAGGATGTCGAAAAGGCTCCTTTCACGTTATTATTGTTTTGCTGTTGTTCGAGCTGTAATGAAATAAAATCAACAATTATTTTTGAAGCTTCACTGGCAGTTAAAATCAAAATTGCTTACTTACGGCTGTTTGTTTTAAAGTTAATCTTTTTAACGGAAACCCAATACCACACAGGGGGAATTTTGGTACATTCCGTCGCAGACCAGTAACCCACCCCTACTCGCCGGTTAACTTAATTTACTTTGGTTGTCGTCGAGCTAGGGCATACTGAGTATTCCTTATATACATTTTTTTAAAATATTATTCAAATTTTCTAATTTAAGTTTTAAAAGAAAAAAAAACATGGCATCTGCTTTCTCATAAATATATGATTAAAAAATGTTCTGTATTTTAAGTGCAAAATAAATCATGAGTCATAGTTCTAACTTTTAGACTTTTACAAGAAGGGCTCAAAACGAACTCGCTTCAGTTCTAAGGAGTGTAAAATATGAAATTATTCAATGAATTTTTTGTTTCAGCGTATGATATTTAATAAGAAATTTTCATATTAATGTTTAAGTAAGAAAACCATCACTATCAATTTTAGTCATGAGAAGGACACCAAATAAAATATTGCACTACCGTCCCTGGGTCCGTTAAATAACAATAGTATATCACTAATACTAATCACTTTCCTTTATTCACTCGCAACTTCACTTTACAATGTCTCAAACTAGAATGATTATCCTACTAAGATCGCGCCTATATTACAATTTTAATGATCTGTACTTATCTAGAATTCTATTAAAATACCACTGAAATTCATCCCGTCGGACCTGTCCGTCCATCACGCATTGTTGCCAACATGTGCGCCCTTTCTGATCACGTACTTTGTAATAATATGTTGTTAGGAAACTTTCGACAAGTTGGAAAACCAATTCTTTTGATTGACAATGATTGAACAGAATTTATGAAACAAAGATAAATAGAAAATGATGTCATTCTAAATGGGTATAATTCCATTTTATAATAACTTTTATAGCGGTACAAATAAATATATTACATTAATGTCCGAGTAAAAATCCATTTTGGAGTAAAAGCAAAATACAAATGACAAGGACGCGAAATAAAATATAAGAAACAGATTTCGGCAAGTTGCTAAATCAAAGTTTTTGTGTAACAGTGATGGATATCTCACATAACCTTAAATAAAAGTATATAAAAAATAAATAACCATCCGATCTCCATATTTTGCAAAACCTTGTCGCCGTCATGTGGAATATATTAAACAAAGGTAAACCGAAAGGTAAATATATGAAAATTATAAAATTATAAATCGGTATAATTCCATTTTGATAATAGCTTTTATAGGAAAGCAAGGAAAGAAAATATATGGGTTAATATATTTAAGAGTTTTGTAAGAGAAACGAAAAAGTTTCGCGAACAATTGATATTGTTTCTCTGCGTTTTTAAAAATTTTAATTCTAGCAAAAACAAAACGGTATAATTTTAAATCCATTTTTTTTTCCAAATCGAACTTTTAGAAAACTCCGCACGTCGGACAGTTCCACCACAACGCGATAACCCACAACTCCGTTAACTTGTTCGACGCCTACAAGACATTCCAATGGGTTCCGGGCGACTGGGGTTCGGTAAGAAGCATACGCCGCGCGTCTCGGAACCCAAAATTTCACGCGCAACACTTTTAGTGTTCGCAGACGTGCGACGGCGGCACCAGCACCCAAAATTTCCACTGCCGCAACGATCTCGGCGTCGAAAACCAGCTGATGTGCGACCTTAACCTCAAACCCGTCAACGTGATCCGCTGCAATGACCAGCCGTGTCCGAAATGGAAGGTCAGCGACTGGAGCCCTGGTTGCGACCTCAAATGCGAGAGGCGTCGCCAAGTGAGGTGTATGGACGACACCGGTAAATCGATATTTATCTTTCAGCTTCGGTTCTTCTGATTTTCTTCACAAGCATTTTAATCCTTCTTCTGTTAACTTTTTCTTTTCAGTTTATTCTCGCGTTTGTGTTTCTTCTTGTTTTTCTCATATATTCGTCCTCGTAATATGCCGTTTTCTTCTTCGCGTCGCTCTAAAAATCGTCCTCCAGATCTCGTACCGGATTTTCATTCATTCATTTATATTGCGTATTTACTATTTATTATTTACATTTCGGCGAAGGCGCCGCATAATTATTCGCACATTACATTTCTCCTAATAAGTATTTTGAAGTCGTACTGTGGTCATCATAGGTAACCCGACATCATATGGCGTACTTGGTTAACTAATCTTAAGCTAAGAGGACTTAACCTAACTTGGACCAACACTGACCAACACTTTACCAAGTTTGTCAAGTAACAGGTTTTTTTAGTTTTCTTGATATCTTGAGACACCACACGTGATAGTTAGTTACTATTAGTAGCACAACCAACAAATTATTATTAGGCACGACCGCTGGAATATAGGCCGCAATGGAATATTTATGACTAGGAATTTTCTTAGCAAAATTAAGTCTTATGTGTTTACATAGGTTGCCATTTTGCAGTTATTGTTAATTAAAAATAGCAGACTTGAAAGAATCACCATTCGTGTTGACCACAAGAAAAATAACGAGATTTAAAAAAAATCAAAGAAACTTCTAGAGGCTACTGTAATAGTATTTACAAATCTTCTGGATTTAAAGAAGCCAAAAAGATGATTTGCGAAACGTCAGCAACTTCGTTTCAGCAACTACCCACTCAGGAGGAATCCACAAGAAGGCTTCAAAACTTTGTTAATGCTTGGAAGGCACTTTTAATTCAGGCTCCTGAAAAAAAACAATCAAAGTAAGGTTATGGACGTTTTAACATGTAAGTTTAACTTAGATTAAACTAATATCACAGCCTGTAAATGATACCATGGTCGACGAAAAGGAAAGGTACAAATATATTTACCAACACAAGAGAGAAAAAATAATTAGTCACTTACCAACGTCTGAGCGACAATAACTTATGGGCACTCAAAAATTGATTGCTCTATGACATCACACTAACGTTATCTTAAGCACGTCTTTCATTTTGCCTATTATTAACGTAGAAATTGACGTTAACCTTACATAAAATTAACCCAGATGTATAAGTCAGGAAATGCTATTTAAAGGCTTCTTTAGATTTGCTTCGGTATTTCAGGTCCGCTGTTTTGTACATTCTCTCCTTTAACATCTTGTCCCGCATATTAACCTTATGGTTATTATTCTACGTACGTACACCTTCGACTGTTTTATTTAGACATTACTTACTACCTAGCAAATAAAATTTTGGCGAAGGCGACGGATTTTTTGGTACTTTAAATGCAATGAGCCGCCCAAATGAGTTAGTTGAAGTAACAAAGCTTCTTTTTGACCCTTCGATTTCAGTAAAAACATATGACGACGCTCGTTGCGACATAGCCAAAAAACCGATCGACTCCACGAAGTGCAAGTTGTCGGAATGTCCGCACGCCGCCAGCGCCATACCGCGGGCGTATTTCGACTCGAACGACGGTCAAGACAAGAGGTACAAGTGGAAAGTGGGACCGTGGAAGCAGGTGAGTGACTAGCGTAAAACCTTATATAAGGCTTCATAAAACAAAACTTGTATGCACTATCGCCGTTGGTGGTGGTGGAGTAAATAGTTGGTGTTGGATGCTCGCCATGTTTTTCTCTCTCGCGACATAGTAGTCAGCTTTTTTCTTTCTCTGTTATATCCGTGCTTGTCTGTTGCCCAAAGTGCTCCAACTCGTGCGGCAAAGGTGTGAGACGGAGGCACATCGAGTGCGAGGACTCGCTGAACGACATAACAGTAGTCGACACGCTTTGCCGGCACCTGCGCAAACCTAAGGCCGTAAAACCGTGCGAGAGGTACAACTGCAAGTACACGTGGATCGAGGATAATTGGTCCACAGTAAGTCACACTTTCAGCTCGCTTTTTATGCAGGGTGTTATTGATATGACGTCGTATAATCTAATCTGCGCATCTGGATAGAGAAAAAAGGGCAATTTTTTCTTAAGCTTATCCGACACGACTATCACCGCAACCAAGCATCTCATTGTCAGTTGTTTGATAACAACCCAGAGTTTGATAAATACGCTGTAACACCGATTTAGGTGACTTATCTGATCCATGGGTATGGTACAAAAATAAGCAACACAATACCGTTTATTATGACTCGGTTTATGTTGTTTTTATTTACCGATTTTACTTAATTAGTAACAAGCAGCAAAAATCTTTTTATGGTTATTACACTTATAACACATTACACCATGAAGAAATGAGTGATAATTTATTCAATAATAAACTATCAACTATTTACAATACTTTTGGATTCCCCTTGCGTCGGTTGTTGATGTGTCGACATTCCTAACGTTTCGCCAATCATTCCGTTGGCTTCTTCAGGTCTTAACTGAAACTGGCTCGCATTCTATTTTGTATTTGCTTATATATTGCTTGAGGGGGCGGAGCTAAAGGACGGACATGAACATTCTCTCGGATGACTAATTCCTATATTGGTAAAGGTAAAGACTTGAGTTGCGGTTAAGATTGTATGGTCACTTATAACTTTCGTTGGTAGAAGAATTGATTACACGTATGCAACACATCACACCTTCCAATAGCATGTTGTCTTTCCTTGTATTCAAAACATCACTGACCATATATCAAAACTTCTTAAGAAATATAACGTTTATACCAGATTTACCACTTGTCCAAAAATCTCTCATCTTTTTACAGCATTCCATGCATATGCTGCATTGTAGAGACCGGCTCAAAGAACATGAAAGAGTCTTAAAACTAAAACAAACTATAGAACCTATAGAAATTCGATCCGATATGATGTTTATGCGCCTCATTTAGCTCCGCCCCCTTTAAACAATATATAAACAGGTACAGAGTAAAATGCGAACCAGTTTCAGTCAAGCTCTGAAGAAGCTAACAGGATGAGTGGAGAAACGTTTGCCATGTCGACCCAACAACAACCGATGCAGGAGGGATCCAGAAATATTATTAGAGAGTAGTCTGTGGAAGTTTATTTGAAAAAAATAATAAAGAAATTATCAAATACGTGTATGGGACATATAAAATTAAAATACACTCAATTACATAACTCTCCGTATAGTTAATTTTGGTTAGTTTAAGTAACTGTACTGTAACGGTTTAACATTAGGTATACACTCTATTCGTTCGAGTATTGCTTTTTGAGTGACTCCGTTTTCAATTTTTTCATTATCCCCGTCGTTCAGATATATTTTTTTATAAAACTAAACAGAGGTACAAATATTAAATTATGTTTCATTACTAATAAAAATGGATGATAACAATAAACACACAAAAAGCTATTCTGTTTGGAAAGTCAAAAAACAATAACAAACCAAAACATCTGTTTGACATTTTTGTTAGGGTTAGGTTACACTCTATTAAGCCCAAACTCACTTGACAAAAAACTACTCCTACTCCGCTCCAGCACCTACTCTAATACTATTTTGATCGACATTTCTAATTATATAAGGAATGCAGTGAAATCTCTAATGAACTGTACGTTTTCATAACTCGTGTAGAGAAAATTATGATGGAATTTTAAACTGGGATATTATTCGATACGATTGCGTAATGATTGACAATAAAGCTGTGACTTGTTGAATGATTTGTGTAGAAAATTTTAACGTATTCTTTGTGGAAAATAGTGACTTTTCAAGTTGTTAGCGATTTTGTTAAAAGCAAGAATCTTTTGCAGTAGTGAAACAAAAAGTAGTTGCACTTCTGAGTCGCTTTCTTTTATAATTTCCTTTAACCAATTGCGAACTAATAGTGTTTAAATTCGTTGCTTAGTAGGACATTAGATTATTTTTTGCAGTTTACTATTTTTTGGGTTCATCTGGTTAATATTATTATTTTTTCATTCTTCCTACCATGTTGGCATCAAATACAATACTCATTTGGTATTGATAGAAATATTTGAGTGCACAAAGGCAGATTAAGATGCGCTGTGTGTGAGCATAAACAATTGATGCAGTTGAATTTGTTATTTATGTTCGAAATTCTTTTATACATGTTTTTTCAAAATTAATAGATGGTAATTAGCAGTTGAATTGACATTAGATTTTGACGTGCAGATCACTTAATGACTTTGTTTCATATTTGAAATAATAATAATATACTGAGACAAACCCTTTTTTGGAAATATTTACAGTTGCAATAAGTTAGCTAGATCATATTGGAACTTATTAAAACAGAGGTGGTACGATTTGGCAATCCGGCATTACGGCATCCCGTTGGAAGTTCCAGTGGCGTGACAAGCATTTTATACCACATTTTTGGAGCAAGTTTTTCGGAATATCAAGCCGTAATCATGGTAACAAGTATTTTTGCCGTTTATCCTTCGACCACGAGACTCATTCGAGCTATTATACGATTTTATTTTAATAACACCCTGTATAGTGCCCTCTAACAAGCGTCTCTAGGTTACTGTGTAGAATTGTTTCGTGTCAAACGCGAAATAACGCTGCGATTAAGACAGATATATTTTCCGCGTAGTGTTCGGCTACGTGCGGGCAAGGCACCAAAAGCCGCAACGTCACCTGCCACAAGGTCCATCACGGAGGCGTCGTCGACCCGACGCCGTTGCCCGACTCGTACCGCAACCGCATTCTGCACAAAAACTACTGTTCGATGTTCAACAGACCGCCCACCACGGCCAAATGTCTGCTGAGCAGGTGCGAGGATCAATACGCTTGGCAACCCGATCCGTGGAAACCTTGCACGCAGCAGTGCGGTAAAAAAGGTCACCAGATCCGCAAACTGAGCTGCGTGCGGACGAAGACTAAGGAAAAGGTGCCGAAGCACTATTGCCCCAAGAGCCTGAAACCGCCCAGGAAGCGCAAGTGCAACCAGTGGAAGTGCCTGTACGGCAACTGCAAAGAGGTCAAGCGTTTTACGGGCACCAAGGAGAATCGCGACTACGTCATATCTGTGAACGGCAGGCCGGTGATGGTGTACTGCTACAAAATGGACACTCCGGAACCGTTGGAGTACATCAGCCTGCATCCCGACAAGATGAATTTCGCCGAGGTGTACGATAAAAGGTTGGAACGGAAGGGTTTTGAATGACAATGAGATAACGGAGCGGAAAATTTCAGATTGAGGAGCCTCGATTCGTGTCCCTACAATGGAGAGAGGCGCGACAGTTGCCAGTGCGATGAAATCGGGACGGAGAGGTCGGGCATGACGACGTTCTACAAGGTCAGGCTCAACATAACCTCACTAAAGATTATCGGTAAGTTGTATCATTCGTTTCCCAAAGACACTTCCGCAGGCTGAGATTTGTAGGCCCACTTCTTCTGGATTTGTCCAACATCGGGTTTTGACTCACTACGAGTACTGATGGCTGTCTGAAAACTTTTTTTAGAACAATATCACTTAATCAATTAACACAGTTCTCCTTTCAAACAATTTCAATCAAAATATCATTTAAAACACTGAAAAAACATCAAAACTAGATTTTCTAGCTAAAATCTTCCAAAACCTAGGATCGGTTGAAGACAAAATTACTATCTAAGCAGGGGGAGTTTACAGCTGTGGTTAGGAACAAAATTCGTTTTAAGACTAGAGGAGGTTACAGTATTCCATGCATATGATGCAAAATGTGAACAAAATATCAACTGGGCTAAAAGATTATGAAAGAGCCTCAAGACTATGACAGTTGCCGAACTTTTCTTGCATGTAATCACCTCTTGTATTAAAAACGAGAATCCATAGAAATTTCTAAACCACCAAAATTTAACCCCGATTCAAGTCTGTCACCAATATGTGAATCAGTCACCCATCATGTCTCCCGTTTAGCTCCGCCTCAAACAGGTACAGAGTAGAATTCAACCCAGCAAATTCGTCTTGTCAACAACCGATGAAGGAAGAATCCAGAAGATATGCAACAGAGAAAACTAAAAACAAATCCTAAACATGATGAAGCCACTCACTTTATATTTTACCCTTGTATAATTCTTCTCAGTTCAACTTAGAGACATCTTTGCATTGTTTCAGGTGACGATTTTACATTTTCAAATCAAATCAGAGGCCGGAGGGTACCCTACGGCGAAGCTGGAGATTGTTACAGCCAAGTCATAGGATGCGGTCAGGGTAGATTCTCCGTGGACCTCACGTCTACCTCTTTCAAGCTCTACCGGCACGTGCGATGGAACAAAGTGGGTCAATACGCTTCCGCCACCATAACTCGAACGGTAAGTTGAGGATTCCTGCCACGCCATTTTCTCATTAAAGGTTGACGAGAACATTTCTAATTGCATCTCTGTACCCTTTCTCCCTTCTAATCTTCCTCCCATCTAGAAAAAAATATTTTTGTTTTGCTTATCCTGATAATAGTTAGAAGCTTTTGTTGGTGTCCAATACTCAAAACTTCATCATTGTTAATTCTATGTCCAGGGTGTCCTATAAAGGGTGATGCATTGCCGAACAGAACATAGGCAATCCCATGTAAATTTTTAGGTGGCCAAATATTGGCTTCCCTGCACATTTTATAGCAAAGTTATAATATAACTTTTTGATGATTAAATATGATGAACACGTAAGTTCGGGATAGTAACTTTTTTTTTCAAAGAAACTTCCACAGGCTACTGTAATACTTTTTAAAAAACTCCTGGATTTCTCCTGCGTCGGTTTTTGCTGAGTCGCAATTGCTGACGTTTCGCCAATCATCCTGTTGGCTTCAGCTTCAGAAACTGCAAAAAACCTTCATAATCATAAGCTCCTAAATCCAATATTGCAAAGCCTGAACGCATCGCCCTAAAATCTCTAAAGTCCAATCCAGACATCGTAATCCTAAAAGCAGATAAAGGAACTGCTACGGTAGTCATGGACACAAATGAATATCAGGAAAAGATTCAAGATATTTTTACAGACGGATCATATCGTCAACTTAAAAAAGATCCTACATCATCTATGCAGCGCAACCTTAAATCTGTTATCAAGGCTTTTTCTCTATCAGATTCCGTGAAAGAATCTGTTATCCCTCACGACTCTAAAATTCCTCGTCTCTACGGACTACCAAAGATTCACAAACTAGGATTACCCCTTCGACCTATTGTCACCACCATTGAATGGACAATTAAAAAGCATTACATTAGATACACAACATATTCTAGGTAGTTTCGACATAGAATCCCTCTTTACTAAAGTTTTTTGGGCAATACTTTTAAAGGAAATATTATTGGCCTAAGTTGCCGAATTCTTTGGCCACCTGATTATAAATGTTTCTTTGTAGCCCTATTTTTTATTATAGCTATTAATTATTTTTAATAAAATACTTGAGCGTTCTTTAAACGAAATTCATCCCAAGAACGCTTTTAGGGACAAGTTTGAAGCTTGACGTCGTCCAGTTTTGGAAATAGCGTTATAGAAAATATTCGCTTGTGTTTGTTGTATTGACCTTCCGGAATTTTGCCATCATATTTAATTCGATAACTAAAGATTGGTTTATAAAAATTTATTCAAACTCGGCACATGAGTTAATTAAAAAGTTATATAACAACATTACTCGGTATATGCACCTATCGTTCGAGGTTTTCAAGTCTTAGTGTCTACCCCAAATGGTAACCTAAATGAACCTCAATTTAATGTGTAAGTTTGGCTTCTGTTTGTGAACGTAAAGGGTATTCCGAGGTATTTCTATTTCAATCTTAATTTCTTTGACTTCGGAATAATTATCGCTTTGCAGCTGCCTAGAAAACACTTTAGTCTCCCTCCAACTTTTGGGAATAGCATTAAAGGTTCACCCATGATCTCAAGAATTGACGGACAGCTACCGTAAATTGCGTGTCCGGTTTTTGTTTACGAAAAACTGAGTTTTCTCTAAACATTCTCTGTATATGCCTGCAAGTTAAATTTAAACAAAAGAAGAAAGAAAAACCAAATGAATTGGTGAAACACCAAACAATTATTAGTTTAATTATGAATTCGGTCCGTCACCGGCGTATGTCGACCAACACATATAAGCTTTGATCGATGTCGGAAACGACAGGTCAAACAGGCTTTTCGTGTGGGCTTGTCGCCAGTCTTACACAAAGTGTGATTATTAGCGGTAATATAATTTGTACTCGAGACCTACTGCAGTGAATAGTGATCTTTTTTTTTCTCAAGAAAATAGTGTTAGAAGTATTTTCTGCTAAAATAAGTGCAGTACCATTTTGGACTATAGAGGTTTAAAACGTTTTGACATTTTAAAAGTTAGTGACGAACGAAAGTTAATTGTGCCATTAAAACCAGGAGAATCGAATATCCAGTATTATGATATAAACGAAGACTTGTTTAATATACTTTCGGAAACTCCAATATGAACAGGTCATGGAGGAAGAATACAAATGCTTAAAGAAATGCAAGTTAAAAACTAAAATATTACTTATGAAGTCGTAGTGCATTGTCAAATGAAACACAACGATGGCGATTACAAGTTTATAAGGGTTTAACAAGATCATGTGACCAAGTTTGTCTAGTTATAAATGTTAAAACCCAAGAAAGCGGAAGAAATACATCATCTTCATTTTTTTTTAATATTAGATGCTCCCGGTATATTGTATTCGGATAATGGCAGAGAGTTCTGTAACCAAGTCGTCATATGTCAACTATGAACTATGTACAACAGTGTTAAAATAGGAGAGCCTCGTCACAACCAAGCGCAGGGCTCAATCAAAAGAGGCAATCAGAATCTTCAGAATATGTTAACTGCGTGGATGTACGATAATGATTCGAATAAATGGTCAGAAGGGCTATCTAGCATCGTCATATCCCCCAACGAGCAAATTACAAATACTGAAGCCGAGGAACGACTAGAAGATTACGTTGATACTTGTGCAGTAAATGATTTAGAGAGTAATTCACTTTCACCTTATGTATTAACTAATTCGCAACCCAGGACGAGTTCGTATGAAGTGTTGACTATTCCCGCAACCCAGCACATCCCCTACTGACCTACAACCCAGCACGTCTTTAATTCGAACAATGACTAATCTACAACCGATTATGCCTTAGTCTCAAATGCTGACAAAAGAGAATCTATCACGCCAACCAACAAAAACTTAAAAAAAAAGTATTGTGCGACCCAAACTGGTAATACCGTAAGAATTAAAGTTCCCGACGTCGACTGTGGCCGTACAGATCCCCGAAATTTCAACATCAATGGTTAACATTGATGTTGAAATACAGGATTCAGACTTCTATAAATTGGCAAACAAAAATGATATCTTGAGGCAGTTTTTCACCCGTAATTAATTTGCAAAGAAAGAAAAGTTATTTTTCATGGAGAGAAACAGCTTCTGCCAATTCAAAAAGTAGAGGGCACTGCTATACACGCTGTAACTTCAAAAGGGTGTGTTCCACGTCTTACTGTAGCTGTAAAAACAAAATTGCTTTCGAAAAATCGTCGGTGGGCGGGGCAAGTTCGTCGCAAATAGCGCGAATCAGCTTTTTATTTTAAAAAGAAGGCACTTCGCGGATTCTTGTAGGGACGCAATGTTTTTCTATCGTGCTCTTGCAGACCACTATGGAACTTTCGCAAAATCGATGTAATTTGATTGTGAATACACCCTGTATACAGTGTCCTTCACATCTCGTCGAACTACAAATTTACGGCATACTACGGTGAATATCAAAATTTGTACTAGTAATTCCAATTTAAAATTATATTCTTTCAAATATCTTGCGTCCCCTGTATAGACGAAACCTCAAACTCTCTCTCAACACAGTTTACGATACCGTTCATATCAAATTATCACATCTTTAAAAGTTTTTCATGTATCGCCAATAATTTACTCACAAAAGCGGAAATTTCTAGGATCTTTTAGAATTTTTTGCCCACAAACGACGTACCCTGTATATAATTCCAACAATGTTCGAATTAGAGGATATAGCTCTGGATCTCCTTAGTTTCCTGGTATCCGAATTTTTCCAATGGAGTAAATGCAGTACGTGGTAACTCGAGTCTAGATTGAGGGCGAGAAATGGTGATGTTCATTTGGATTTTTTCAAATATCTCGAACACCGTATGTGATGGACGAAAACCGTAAATACAAAAATTGCAGCCCTTGATACGGCCTATAATACTGTTTGAACGGATTAGCTATTGTTTGTACGAATTTTGATTTACGGTTAATAATTTACTCTCTAAAGGAACAATTTTCAGGGTCTTTTAGATCTTTGTCCACAACTAAAACACCTTGTATATAATCAAAAAAATGCGAGAAACAAAATTTATAGCACCGGGTCTCCCACGTATTACGGATGTAAAATTTTTCCGATCGGATGAATGGCTTTCGAGGCAAAGATGTTTTTCGGAATGCCAAAATAACCACAAAAAAAAATTAAAAAATTAAAAAAAATACTTCACGTCATTTTATTACTCCCAATTTAAAGAGCCTAAATGCGGGTCCAAACTTCTACTTCTCTCCCAAGTCTGAAGTCGGTAGCTGCAAATTTCGAGTACTTATGTTTTTCAATATTGCACGGAAAATCGCGAACACCCTGTACAATACTTAAAAACCGTAAATACAAAAGTTTAAGCTGTCTATATGGGCTATATCGTCATGTAAAAGAAACTGACAGCTAAAACAGATTTGAAATTATTGCCAATCTTCAATAATAGGGGGACCCATTTTTCTTTTTAATTTGCGGCGCACCCTGTATATTCTTGAAAAATTGTCACGAATACAAGTTCATAGAGCCGTATCTTCTGCTTCTTCTGGTGCAAAATTTTTTTTGGTCTCATAAACAGTTTTTAAAAAATGATGTTTTTTGTAGACCCTTACACGCGCGATTTTTTATTTCTTTAGAATACTTCCCGACCCCCCATCCCATCCCCCCATTTTCAATAGGTTCCTTCCCGTGGCAAAGCTGCATATATGTGCCAAATATGAAGTCGATTGCTTCAAATTTCGGACACTTATCGTGTTTCATAGCAAGGTCCAAAAAACAGTCGGAAATCGCGAAAAAAAAATGGACACCGGCGTGGGATCAGGGCCATTTTTTTCAAGCTTATGTGCCTCGTGGAGGTTTAAAAAGGAGGCAAATTTCAATTTTGTAGCTGAAACGGTTCGAAAGTTATTCAGGAAAAACCAAAAGACGAGAACGGAGAACGGACAAACAAAAAACATTTTTTTTTTCAACGGTGATCATTTCTGTACCAACGGCGATCCCGTAGGACTTACCGTTACCGAGATATAAAATTTTTATACGAACGCAGATACTTTCGAAAATTCGATTTCATCGATTTTCGAAAGTAACAAGAATTTGTGTAATTCAAAGTGTCATGGTGCTTAAGTCGTTGCAAAAAATAAGGGTGACATATATTTACCTGTGTTTTTTTTAATTGTAGCTGAAGAAGTTTTAAGTTCAACAACTTCCATGTTTTAATGAAAATAAATAATAGCCTATAAAATTTTACTTTGTTTTCTTTTTATAACAAATTCTTGTGAACAATGTTCGCATTCGTCGCTGACAGTTAGAAATAATATTTGATGAATATATCGAGACATACGCCAAGTAACTTGATGAATGTTGACATTCGCTGGTATATCCGGACAATCGCCGGTTTTCGGACTTTCAGTGTTACATATTCCAAATAAAATCAGCAGTTCGCGCTTTAATTTTGATGCAAGTTTATGAAACAAAACATTGCACCTAAAAAGGGGTCTCGTTTCAGCCGACGATTGCGCAGGGCAAATGCGGCGGTTACTGCGGTAACTGCGTACCCGATCCCACGATCGGCTTGGCCGTCGAGGTGACCTAATGGAAGCGCAGCGAACCGAAGCACCAGAAACAACCTTCAGCACGCGGGAAAGCCCGCGAGGGTAAATCAAACTATCCCTTCGAAGTTTGGACGTTTGGAAAATTTAGAGAAAGCGAACTGCCATTGGCGTGCACTCGGGACCGTACGGATCGCTTTCGACTCCTTAAATGTGCCTTACTAACATACCCATCGGGAACGATGGCCACCCGAAAGTATTATATGTTTTAGTTGGGACGCTGGGTGCCGCGTTTGTTACTTTCTGTGATTCCCCTAACAAAATATTTTATAATCCCCGCCCTAGAGGTCGCGCTCATCACCCCAACTGCCAGCCGTAACTGTAGCGTCTTGCCTCATATTGAGGCGCCCGCCCGTCTAACTAACAGAGTTTAAGGCAAAATGGACGACGGTACGTTCCCGAATCTCCCGGACGACTGCCTGGGGCTCTATTCTTAAAAAAATAAACTAAACAAGTTTAAATGAAGTGCGTTAAGTCCATTGTTATATCAATAATACAGTGGAAATTATTGAAAACGCAAAATCAAGATGAATTTATAAAACCCACCTATAGACTTTTTCAAAAAAAAAGTTGCTTTCCTGGCAAATACACTTTGCTTTATTAACCTTTGTAAAGGTCCATTATTTGACGAACATTTTAGAGGTTCCGTTTTGCATAGTAATGCACTTCCTCACTTTTCGTTATACCCAATATAACACTTTCAAGAATGTCTACTTATCACAGAATGACGTCATTTTTTGGGTCAAGAATAGGGGCTCTGGGTGTACCGCCGTCTATTCATTCGAACTTAGCATTAGTAATTAACAATCTCGTTGCCATGACGACTTAGTTTTTGCCTCGAATTTTTCGTTAGGTGTTAGGTGCCATAAAGAGACCTAATTTTTAAATTATTTAAAATATTTATTGAGTTTTTTTTTGTTGTAGTTTCTTCGTGTATATATTATTTAATCGCAAACATTTTCCGTCTAGGACAAATCATACTGCCACGTGTACATAGTCTTTTAACTTAAGTTTTGGTAAGGACAAAATATTGTTGCGCGCGCAATTGTTGAATCTGCGCGTCAACGTCAGAGCTGCCTCGTCCTCCTGTATATTTATTGTAGCCCGAATGTCCGGAACCCAGCTAGGAGACATTTTTCTATTTTTTTTTTGCATAACTACGAAGACTGTTGACTAAAATAAAACACTGCTAATTGACAGGCACATTGTTTCATTCGTTCCATGTGCCCTTCAGTAATGCTACGATACAACTTGAAAATATAAAATACATTTTACTAATCTGGTCACCATATATTCAAGGTGTTATGGAATTCAGGTTAAATAACTTACCAAGTGGATGTGGATCTGTATCGCACCGTGATGGCGAACCTCAAACCGGCACGATCAAATTAAATAATTGGTCTCCGTCGCCTTTGATAAAACGAACATAACCTAGAAAACTACTCGAGTTTCGCTGCACGCATAGCTCAGATCTAACTGACCTATTTTCAATTTTTTTTTTAATTGCGGCTTATAATATACCTTCAAATAAAACAACTTTCAGGGTCGTTTAGCTTTGTGCCCACAACCGAAACACGCTGTATCAAGAAATCGAAGAAATGTACCGAACAAGGTTCATGGGAGGATTTTTCCGATGGAGTAAATTAATTTTGAGAAATAATTGTTTTTTGAGCCCTTGCAAATACAACATTTTAAAAAATCCTTGCAAACTCACCTCTATCCCTCCATTTCAATAGGTTCCGACAGGGAACCAAGCTCTATAAGTGTGCCAAATTTCAAGTCGATAGTTTGAAATTTCGGAAAGTTGCTTTATTTCATAGCAATGTCAGTAGCAGCGCAGATACTTTCACATATAATGAATTTCATTCATTTTGCTAAGACTCTTTCATAATTAACGAATTTCATTGAATTTGAAAAGATACATTTACATTTTGAGGAGATACTTTAGCAGATAACAAATTTCATTTATTTGCAGATTATTCATCATTCATTTTGAAGATCCTTTCGGAAATAACGAATTTCATTTATTTTGAGAAGATACTTCGCAGATAACAAATCTGGTTCCTTCTGCGAAGATACTTTTGCAGATTATGAATGTCATTAATTTGGAAATACTTCATTCATTCTGCGAAGATACTTTCGCAAATAACGAATTTCATTTATTTTGCTAAGACTCTTTCATAATTAACGAATTTCATTCAATTTGAAAAGATACATTTACATTTTGAGGAGATACTTTAGCAGATAAAAAATTTCATTTATTTGGGGAAGATACTATTGCAGATGACGAATTATGAAGATCCTTGCAAATAACGAACTTCACCCATTTCGAAGATCCTTTCGGAAATAACGAATTTCTGCGAAGATACTTTTGCATATAACGAAGATACTGTTGCAGATACTTTCGCATATAACGAATTTTATTTACTTTGGGAAGTTTCTTTAGCATATAACGAATATCATTTATTTTGAGAAGATACTTTCGCAGATAACAAATCTCGTTCCTTATGAAGTTCATTAAAATACTTTCGCAAAATTATGAATTTCACTCGTTTTGCAAAGATACATTCGCAATTAACGAATTTCATTAAATTTGCGAAAGCATCTTGAGTGGATAACGAATTTTATTTATTTGGGAAACATACTACTGCACATAATGAATGGCATTGATTTTACCCAGATAATTTCGCAAATAACGAATTTCATTCATTTTAAGCAAGTAATTTGGAAGATACCAAATTTTATTTATTTTGCCACGATACTTTTGCAAATTATAAATTTCATTAATTTTGCGAAAATAGAAATTTCGTAAACATCGTTTTGCGAAAACACGTTCGCATTTTGCGAAAGTAACTATAGCGAATGACAGTGAAACGTGACGGATGACCAAAAAAATATTTATTAAACACTTACAACGGTTTGTTCTTCACATCGAGACACGTCTACCAATCTAAACAGCCTAAACAGAGTTATTACATAACATACGGGCTGCGCTAGACACCGTTCGTTGTACTCTTATATAATCGTTTATTAAATCGTTGGTGTATCAACAAAAAGGACATCTAACGCTCCACACGAGAGGTGATATGTAAAGGGTTCTGTACAATAATGATAAAGGTAAATGTAAATTGGTGTTTCTGTTACGAATCGTCCCCCCCAAAAAATAAATTTTTCTGTCGCGTGCCTTCGTCGGAAGACCCTGTATCAATTTAACTTGGTCGCAATTCTAAAGCTCCGGTCGTCTAGTTCGGATGGATCCTCACCTCCTCCAAGCAGGGGGCGTTGTTGCCCAAAACGCTTTGAACCATGTCGATACTAAGGTTCCACAACGTCACCGCCAGTTGATCGCTCTGAGCTGAGTCACTCTCTTGACACGGACAACAATTGTTGAAATATATACCTGAAACGACAAGTCCAGGCGATTTGCCCCCCTCTCCGAAATTGAAATGGCAAACCTGTTAACCCGACCAGTTCCGGAGCGGTGGCACAGTATACGCTGGTCGCTGCCGCCTGTTGTAGACTCTTGGTGAAGGGTCTGACGAAAGCGAAAAGCAACCGGTAGAACCACCAATGTCTGCTCAGTCCCGTTGCCACCATATTGCCTGGGTGGAGACTGAAACGACAGCACGCACTCGCGAGGTCATACCCAAACACGCATTTTATTTTTTTTTTATATATATATAAAGAGTGGGGTTTTGACGTTCAAAACAAAACGGATTTCATGTTGTTAGGTCCGTGCATTCAACAAATACATTGATTAGAACCTACTTTATCCCCTTCCAAGTCCAAAAAGATTAAGTTACGACAAAAGGAAAATGAAAAGTAACAACATAAGTCGAAGAAAGAGGAAGAAATTAAAAATCAAAAATATTTTTGCAAAGCACTTATAGTCGGTGTAGTGCACCCATTTTCACTATACGATGTCGGACAAAAATATGATGTTACTTTTATTAAGGCAATGTTACGTGCTTAGAGTTTGAATTTCTTTTTTGGTTAAAAAATATATTGTAATTTCGAACCAACTCTTTTCCCGACATTATTTAAAATATTTCGAAAAAAAAACTTTCCAGTTACAAATCAACGTTTTTGACGGAGGACGATTAATATTTTATATAACCCTAAATAAAGGCAAATAAAAACCTCGTTGTCACCACTGTATGGAATATATTTTAAGAAACATAAAAAAAAATGACGTCATGACAAAATTTCGACTTTACCTAAAAGCACATGTCAAATTTAAAGTTTATTTCGTGATAAATAAAAGGCTTGAGATTTTTATTAACTGGTTTGGCTTGGTATTGGCGTTTCTGTACTTTTAACAATTAAAACTAGTTTGCAAGTTTTCAAACCATTTTTGCAAAAACTTATTTCAAAAAAGGTTATGTATTTTGACCAAAAAAGTGGTGTTATTGTGTTCTCAGCGCTGCTAATAATATGGTTTGTACTTATTCTAGAGTCCAGAAGCGTAAATAAATAAATTTTGGTGACACCGTTCAATGTTTACACATATTTTTTATGAAAATATTGCATGTCTGCTATCAAATTGCAAGAAACTTGGCAGATAAAACTAGCAATTATGTTTTTCTACAATTTGTGCGGGAAAATCGGCGCAAAGCGTGTATGTCCATAAACTTCTGGGTTTAACTTCGATGAAAAGTGTAAATAGTCATTCAGCCTTTTCCAGTACAAATTATTAGTTTAGTTATTTATTTGAAACGTCAGAAAAATATGTTTATATTAAGTATCCAAAGTCAAAAAACAACCTTTAAAAATAAAATTCTACCAGAATAATCAAGTATATTTTGCTCCAAAAAATTATGAGTTCAAAATAAAAATAGCATCCTGTCCACTGAGCTTAATACATAACGGATATCTCTATTTTGTTTTGTCGGTAATGGGCGCGTGTCTTTAGCTATGGTGCGTAGCGAAGTAAAACGCAAAGCACAAAAAAAAAACAAATTTGTGTTCTTGACTAATACTGTTCTATAGTACTGTCACCTGTTCCCACAGATAAAAATTAATAGAGGAACAATTTTTTTTTAATCTTCAACTGCAACCGCAACAAGTGACGGTTCAAAGTGGCACGTGCCACCATCGCGTCTTTTTATTTTGAAGATTACCCAGATCTTTATTAAATCTCTCTGATGAAAGACGTAATCACATATTTTCGAATATTATTACTGTGTTAATATTTGTTTGTTAGGAGAAAGATTTTTAAAAAATTCATAACAAGCTAGTTTATTATACAGATAGAATTGTTTGGTGGATTAGTCAGTTTTTCTAAAATGGAGAATATTTCGTCGCTTATTATAATCTTAACTAATCTTAATTTAAATCGCATATATCAAATTATACACTTTACAAAAGGGAGCTCCAGAAGTTTGTTGAAATTTAGCATCTCTCCAAGCAATACATAAAACTGAGCTTCCATTTCTCAAATGATCACAACAACAATAAGACAACATTGTAGCAAAAGTTCACTGAGAAAATGACAAAAAAGGTATATGATATTCAAACTTTTTTTATTGTCCCTTATAGAGAAGAACATAATGCGAGTTGTTTGATTACATTTGATTACGTTAAAATTATAAAAAAAAATGTATTTTCATAAGTATGGGCTAAGTTTTTATGCCTACAAACAAAATAATCCACACTCCAATCACGTTGACGGCATAGTAGAAGCAATTTGTTTCTATCCATCTATTTACATCTTTTAGGATTTAGCCAATTAGCGTACCTAGGTTCTGTTAAGTGAAAGTTTTTTGTAGATGTCTTGGTTACCTGAACACAGAAACGCCCCTTTTCTGTACATTTTTGGCGAATTGCCTCGCAAACAACACGTTGCACAGCTTGGAGTTGTTGTAAGCCGAAACGTCCCAGTACTGCCTCCAAGTGTCGGGCGACAGTGTCAGCGCCGTCGCATTAGTTAAATCTAAATTGGAAAACCTGAAACACCAACCAACCTAAGGCGGGATCGGAGAAGGAAAATTCGAGGGTTACCTATGCGATTCGGAAGATACCACCACGACTCTGGAGCCTTGAACGAGCAACGGTTCCAGGAGCATCGTAAGGTAGAACTGTGACAAGTAATTCACTTGAAAGGTGATTTCGAAACCGTCGACGGTTTTGGAAAAGGGCAGTCCGAAGACGCCCGCATTTAGGATGAGCATGTCGATCTTGTCGTAGCGACTCTTGACCGTGTTTGCAAACTGCACAACTATAAAGAAAAAAACATACACCTATTTTAATTACACATCAAACTTTTAATTCGTACCCTTATTCAAAACTTTAATAACTTTAAACATGTCGGACGCACCAATAACCAACCAATCAAATGGGGTTAGAAACTTAAATAATCAAAAAAACCAAATTTGTTTCCTCAATTCCTATTGGTTAAAATTAAAGATTAGGAACTCTCACTTCATACACAGAATACTATACCTGTCACTGGTGCAGCCATAATTTCAGGTTAGGTTAACGCTGTATCTAAACAAATAAAACGGTTAATTTAGCTACAGTTGGTGTATTCCTTCAGCGACGTTTTTTCCTCATATTTTAAAAACGGATACTGACCTTTCGCCGAGGTGTACCGGCTGATCTAATTAAGTGTTCATCATTGGTAACTTTGTTATGAGTAGATACAAAATCGGTTAAATTAGAAAATTAGTAGCATTTTTTTCACTAATTACGATGGTTAAAACAGATAAATAATTAAATGCAGGGTTTAGAAAATCACCAACAGAACAAAAGAGGTGATATGCAATATTAGACTAAAAATGAAAATAGACTAGATAGCTATGAGTGGTTGCGAAATAAAACTCTATTTTCCTTTTGTTGTTTTATTTAAGTGTAAGAAACAGTAATAACACGAAACGGTTTTATTGTTTCTGAAGATGCGATAAAGGCGCAGAAAAAAATGTTAAAAGAAGGCAAAATAATGACAGCCCTGATAAATAGAAAAGTAGTTGTTAAAAAATCAGTTTTAAAGTAACAGTGCGACATGTTAGAATGCTATTTGGCATACAGAAAATCGTCTGTAAAGAACGGCACGTTCTACCACATGAACAATTTTTTCTGCACCTTTATCTTATCTTTATTAATAATGAAGCCGTTTTTGAGAAAAAGGAGACGAAAAAATTGTATTATAAATGAAGACGTGGAAATTAGTGTTCTTCGATATTTTGAAGCATATCGTGACAATTCTATTTAAGGTATAGTTAAATACTCAAACTTATCCTTTAAAACTGTCTAAAGCATTTTAAAAAAATACAAATTTTGCCTTTAAAAATTCCGACCAGCTCAGGTGCTTTTGACAGGAGATGCAGCGAGAAGACTGTTTTGTCATTAATATTTTGTGGAGTAACGATCAAATTTTTCAAATTCTGAAATTTATAATCCAAAAAATCATCAATATTGGTCAAGACAAAATTTGTTGGTAGTACATTCCTGAGATCCACAAGTTCGTTTCAGCTTTAACGTTTGGTGCGGTATAATTGGTTCTCGCATTGTTGGTCCATATTTTTACGATGTCACTCACGCTGCCCGGTGAGCGGCAGTTGGAATTATTAGTGAAATTCTGGATGGTTTTTCTAGATGAGCTTGACCTCATAAGTTGGCAGAATCCCCATTTCCAACAAAATAACGCACCAGCTTCCGAGGCACATATTAATTTTTGACATCCACTTCAGTAAAAAAAATACAGGGTGCTGCATTTTTTCCTAAACCCCGGATTAAGGCAAAAATAGAAAAAAATAAGCGTATACAATTTTCATAAACAGTTATCAAATATAACAACCGAAAATGCAAGTTTTGACTTCTGACAAGATTCACTTTTTTTTTTCATATAATTGCAGAAGAAAAGTACACAAAAAACCTCCATGCCCTGGAGGTTTTTTGTGTAGGCCTTATTGTGCGGATAAGGACAAAGGTAATGGAGCAAACAATTTTCGACCACAATGAAGGAAAAAAGTTTGAGTTTTACATCTCCAGAGAAAAAGAAAAGAGAAGAAAAAACAGTTTCCGTTGGTGATAAAGGCGATCGAGATTCAAAATCAATATATCTACATCTAAAGAATACATAAAACACGTTTATTGACATAATGACGTATGATTACTTACTTTTTAACATGTTCAAAATTTGAAAGACACTTTTAAAATGCAGTGAAAATTTAATCACAAATTATGACGTCACCCGAATGACACAAACGCGAAATAACGCTCCGACATTTTTGATCTTAAGGAACTTTTAATTTTATTACTTTAAAAACTGAACCCTTATTTTATAAAAACGCAATAAATGTACCTTCTTAACCCATTGGAAATTCATGTATAGTCGGACAAATACCATATGCACATCTATTCCTTTTGGCCTCTTTAGACCAAGTGTCTAACTCGGATACTATTGAGAAAATCTTTGGGCTTACAACACAGCAGGAAATACTACCGATCTTATGTTATACGAAAAACATTCCACTACTATCGAAAAATTCATGAAGATAGTCTAAATAAAACTAATCACTGATCACAAAACACAATAACAACACAAATCTAAAATTGATTTTAGTACAGTAAAAATAAAAAAAAAATGATTTTCCGCGCATTTTCTGTCTTAACAGCGATTTCCACACACTTAACTCGCATTAGAACAAGAACAAGAACATTTAACGAGATCTAGGCGTATTTTGATGAAATACTGCCGTATCCAAACCTCTTGACGATCTGTCCGCGGCCATGTTGGTTATCGAATTCAGCAAGGTTAAAAAAGAGATTTTAAATCTCGCGCATGGGCACGTTATATAGACCTACATGGGCTTGACAGGTGATAAAATGGTGGCGACTTTTGAAATTTTGAACTGCTAAACTACCCTTCCGTGTTTAGTAGTCTGTGCTTCATATTTACCCATAAATAATAATATAATCTAGGGAGATGACTTCTAGCGATATAACTACTAGACATATAGGCCCTGCCTACACCAATAATTCAGGAATTCATGAAGTAACTATGAAACAAAAATTCGTCGATTCGAGATCGTCAATAAGCTTAGTTGTAGCATTTTCGGGTAGTATTGTCTTAACATATCACGTCCGCAATTTTCATAATAGTAGGGTCATTTTATTATGTAATAGTTATATACTTGAACATAACGCAAATATTTAGGCAGGCCGGGACGATGTCGTCAATGCTGCACATCGCCAAGGTTTTTAGCGATGCACTACGCACAGAATAATATTTTTATATATTCAAAAGCATAAGCTAATTTGAAATTAAACTCAACATATGTTAACAAAATATATGGTTAATATTTCGCTAAACGTTAATCATAGAACCACAATAGCAATATGATTTTTTAAGAAATGTATTTTGGTAATGTGAGTCTTGTTTTGTCTACATTTGCTTATTTTTTGTGAGAAATGTGATTTTTTGAAAGTGTTTTTGCTTATTGCTACTATAAAGACTCTCTCTCAACTCTACAGAGAAATTAGCAGTTTTACTCAGAAGTGACATTTCATTTGTATGTAAATAAGGTAAGGTAAGGTATTTTCTTATTTTGTGTAATTCTGCTTAGTATTTATCTACTGCAGATTTCTAAAAACACAGAGGTGTCGGATATGATTGGAATTATCTCTAAAAGTGTGTCAAGTCTGTTTAATTTAACTATTTATAATAAAATTATGAAATTTAATATTGTTACATTACAATTTCACCAATGATTCATTGGTCCCCTTATGTGACTATATGGGCATCACAACAAAGGGAATTTTACGAATGACTTATGAGGTCTTTTAGTTGGATGTCTGTCGAAGTTAAAAATGGGACGATCCAATCACAAAATAACTCAAATATCCAGAGTTTTTTCCCTTGAGGAACATAAATACAAAAAAATAACATACCAGAAGCCAAAGACGCCAAATCAAGATGGATGATGATGCAGTTTTCTGTGACATTGAGCCGAGCCTCCGATTTCATCTGTAGAACTGCTTCTTCTGCCGCGGCTAAGTTTCTACAGGCGAATATAACGGTGCAGCCGTGTTGAGCTAGAGATCGGGCCGTTTCGTAGCCGATACCGGCGTTAGCCCCAGTAACTATTGCTATTTTACCAGTCAAATCACGACCGTGAAGTACCTGCAAGGCAGTGCTTGAACCATCGAATCGTTGTCGATAGTCATCGACGTGTTCCTTTTCCTCGATGGCGAAAGCTAATCTAGGGTCTGTATATGTCGTCCTCTTGTTCTCATGGTCTACATATATTACTTTACCAGTATTTTTATCGATACATCTACAACACACAATGTTAGTCTATACACAGATTGAAACGCCAGAAACGTCACCTCTCCCAGCCAAAGGGAAGTTTCCCCGACACCCTCTTCTTTTTGCCGGTCCTGGGGTGGGTCCATTGGGTGTTTTTCGTCAAATGGTTGGCGTAGTAGACGCTACCATCTACGGTGACCCGCTCCTCCCAACCGGGCGGCAACTCGTCCTCGCTGTCGGACTCGGGAAGATTCATGCCTCTAAAATCGGGCCATCGTTTACGAAAAACGCGGAAAATAAAAGCTGCGCCCACCCGAACGAAATAAACAATCCACCCACACTGTTTTGACACAGCGTCAGCTGTTCGATGATCAATGTTCCGTGTATTTCTGATTGCATACCCACAACGCGCGATCCCGAAATCACGGACCACAAATTTTGTGTGCAGTGAAAACACCGTGTTCGAGGATCACAAAAGTTTAAAGTTTTTGGTTTTCGGTTTGTTTCATATTTTACGGATTGGGGATTTAGACTGCTTTGTCCGATTTTGACTGAAATTAACCGCGAAAAAAGCAGATTCACGCTAATAATGTCCAGAAAACTACCCCTACAGAAAAAGTAATAATAGGAGAGCGATGAATTAAATGAGAATAATCGGGATACTGTCATACTGTGCCTGCAACGCAACTGAAGACGTCTCAATTTCGATCTTTATCTGTACCTGCTGGGATAGTTGAAAAACAAAACGTTCTGCATTTATCGATTTATCGATCGTGATTAACACATAGATTAGAAAACTACCCAATTTTTAAACAAGGTGCGTATTCTTTTGTTGCGTACTGTCAGTTTGTGTGTACTGGTTTGCTTTGTTTCATATTAGGTAAAAATGAACCAGAACTCCAAAGCATTGGTAAATTGAAAGTGAAGTTATTTAATAGTTGAGCAAACTGCCCAAAAGGTTATTAGTCTTTCAAGATTGTTTTTCCTATAATAAGGATTTCGTGTCCATCAATTTAATTCCAGTTACTTTTCAGCTTTTTTAGAGTGTATAGAGATTTATATTTATTTGCTTTACTTTGGAAAAGAAACCATCGAGAACTTTGGTGTTATAATCCAACTTACTCCATCATTCCGCAAAGAAATGTCAGCTCTTGAACACAAAAGTTTTGGAACAGCAGACGCCTATTACATTTATAAAATCCTAAAAATTTGGTCAGCCAAAGGATAAGTTATATAAAAAGTAATTTTTGGCAGGGGCTCCCGGAAAGACATGGAAAGAGATATTTACGGTTAACAAAATATACGTCAATTAACGGCGGCATAGATAGAAATAAGCTGATCGCTTATTTCACGCTGTAGTCCGATGTAACGGAACATTGAATTCAGAGATCCACCGATAATATCGGGGATAAGTGCACAAAGTTAGTTCACGGATCTAAAAGAGAAGGTCATGAATGAAGACTAGTTTCATGATTTATGAGAACGTCCCTTTAGGAAAAAAAAGCCGTGGTCGATCAAGAAAGAGGAAGAGGGGCGTTCTGCATTAGACAGGTCCAAGAACCATTATTAGCAATAATAATAATAATAAGCCTACAGACACCTTGGTGTCGAACAAAATCGCAAGGTAGACAGTGAAGGAATGAAGACTAAGCTACGAAGCAGATATAGGCAGCGTTTACGAAAAATATGGAAGCTCGTACTATCCAAAATAAAAGCGGTTGTTGAAACAAATTATATATATAAATATATATATATATATATATATATATATATATATATATATATATATATATATATATATATATATATATATATATATATATATATATATATATATATATATATAAAAAATTAGTTCATAATAAAAATGCGTTTATTTTTTTTATTGAAACCAATACATAAAAAACTTTAATTGGACTGGCGGGGTCTGGCCTGCATAAGACAACCAAGAAATAAAAAAAGAGAATATATGCATAACATTACCATTGAGAAAATAAGTAGTGAGACCCAAAGATGTAAAAGCAATAACAGTACGATGTTACTAGTGACATGAAACAAATGCATATCGACAGAGAAATATTACGGAAAATTTGTAGATATGCAGAAAAGCATACAGGTGTATAAAAGTGTATACTTTTATAAAGCAGATCTAAAGCGATACTTTAACATTTTCTTGAATGTGGTAATGCTTGAGAGCAAGCCTTGATGCTGTGGGAAGTGGAGTTGAAATATTTTACTGTATTGTAACTACTGTATCTTGGAAAAGTCGGAAAATCACTATGCCTCATTGCTCTGCGCCCTGTGATGAACATCAGAACCACTGACTAGATTAAATAACTACAAGGACAGTCGTGAAAGGGTAATTTTAAAAACAAGTGTACATAAAGGCAGCTGAAATCGAGTTTTCACTATAATCCAATTAGAATTTAAATATGAATGAGAGACATGATCAATAACAAAATCTTAAACAGCAGTTTTGTAATTTTTGTAGGATTTCTCTGTTTTTACGAAGAAGAGCTTGTCAGTACAACACCCTGCAGTATGCCAATGTAGATGTCACAAAGCTTGAATTTCACACAATAGATGTAATGATATAAGTTTACAATAACTTTGTGGACTAGATAAGACACGTGAACCTAAATCTCGTTCGTCCAAATTTTTGAACGAAATTTAACTTTAGTTAAACACATACGAGGGTCACTTGAAAAGTTTCCCACCCCACCTTGAAGATGGCGGCACTAGTTACTATAAGCTAGTGATCGTCGTTGCGCACCGCTTGATAGTTACCTACCAAAATTTCAGCCATTTTGGATTTTAGGTTTCGTGAAAACGTAAACAAAAATGAGTATAGAACTGTTATGAAATATTTGTTTTTGAAAGGCAATACACCTACGCAAATTAATTTTGAGTTGAACTCTGCGTATGGGCACTCTGCACCGTCATTTACCACAGTGAAATTTTGGGCACCTGATTTTAAACATGGCCGTAAGCTTAGAGGTCCAGAAACTATAACTACCTACTGACGATAATATTGCTAAGGTTTATCAAATGATGTTAAATGACAGTCGAATTAAAGTGGGAGAGATAGCAGAGGTTATGAAAATGTCCGAAGAACGCGTTTGTCACATTTTAAATCAAGATTTAGGCATTAGACTAAAAACGTATTAGAATTAACATTTCCAACACTCTGTCAGCGTAGTTTAGGCGCAATAAATCCGATTTGTAGCGCCGATTCATTACTGTAGATGAAACTTGGATATACCATTGTATACCCGAATCAAAAATAAAGTCAAAACAGTGGACTCCGAAAAAAGAAAAAACTGATTTTCTGCGCGGAAAGTGATGGCGACTGTTTTTTGGATAGCCGATTACCTTGGAAAAGGAAAACAAATTACAAGAGTATCATTACTTGACAAGCTGTGGACAGAAATTACGGAAAAACGGGTACATTTGCAAAAAAATCCTGTTTCACCGTCTCATACCTCAGCGGTTGTAATCCACGAATCACGATTTAAACTGCTTGATCATCCGCCTTACTCACTAGATCTAGCCCCAAGCGACTTCTTTTTGTTCCCTCATCTGAAAACTACGCTCAGAGGAGAAAGATTTTCGTCAAATGAGGTGGCAACCGCCTTCGTCAACAAACCGCTGGCTCCTATTTGGACGGGTTAGAGAGATGAGAGAACAAATTTAAATAAAAAAGAAAAAATGTCTTGTATCCTTCTAGGTCCCTCGTATATTATTTAGATCAGAATTGTTGTTATTGCCTAAAAAAATGAGCTAAGATTTAGAGTTACTAAGGTAAACTTTGTGTGTAGCTCATGCAATGTCGGAACCCTTGGAATTAACACTGAGATATACCTTGAGGAACTCTTCAGGCCAAGTCTAAGAAATGTATGCGTTTCTTGCCATAAGAAACTTTGTATTTAAGTAAGTTAAGTACTAGTTTCCTCTATGCAGTTGCCTAGCGATAAAGTTTCGTTTTGAATTAAGTGACGGAAAAAGCCGATCACGCTTCGAGCCTGAACAACTTGGCATCCGTTGACCCTCTATACCGATTACAATAATAAATTACACCTTATGTACGAGTGTGACGCAACCCCAGCACGTGCTTCCGCGCGTATGATCCTTCCAGAGTCGGCAGCGAGGAGTATCCTGCGATCGCGAGAGCCGATGGCGTCCGAGCCAGGCCGACCGCTCGACATATATCCTTCGGGCGCCGGCCGATAGGTTAGTGTGCGTATTCAATCCCGGTCGTCTTCCTCGATTCTATTATCCACCAGTCGATAATGTTACACGAAGGTGGACGGTCTTTCCGCCCGACGCAGCACGCCTAACGTTGCCATTACGTAACGCGTCGTGCGATAACGCAGGCGGCCGTGGTTCCTTCGGCGATGTGACGCTCGATCGTACGAAACACGCGGGGCCTACTCGATTTCGCTAAATCGGTATCCACGACGACGAGAGAGAATACGAGAAAAACAGACTGTACTTTGGTATCGACCCGATAAATCGAGACGGGGGGAAAAAATCAACTTCGGGGCGGTTTATATCGAATCGTGGTCAGAAAATAAAGAAAAAAATAGTTCGGGATCGGGATTGATAATAATGGTGCCGCTCTAAGCGCGACAAATACGCGAGGGTCCGTCGAAAGTGGCCGATGATAAGAGGGCCGGTCGTATCGGGGGTGGTTTAAAAGGAAAATGGGCAAGAGCAGAACCCGCAAGACTAGGTGGCGAGCACTGGACATCGCAGGTAAGTCGTAGACGATAACATTATGCAATGTTGCGTTTACGATCAGTTGGCTGTGGCCGGCGTAATGTTTGAGAGGAGATGGCGTGTTCTATCGCGGAATCGATCATACGTTTTGTATTGCAGGAAAATTATTTAGCCTTAAAAATAGCGTCCCCTAATTTCAAATACCTAGAGACCAAATTAAAACTACCTTTGCTTGCTGCAATTTTTCCCCAAGAAATGGTAACGCAATTGTAAAATCTTCCGTTGCAGTTGAATAGGGTAAGTGAAAATGAAAATATCAAGAAAACTATAGGAGGTGTTTTCTGTTCTGGCCGGCATCGTTTTTAAAGAAGTATGGACCAATAATTACACTAGCCCATAAAGCACACCAAACAGTTAGTTTTTCTGGATGTAACAGTGACTCCACACACACTTGAGGATTATCGCGCCAGTTCTCTTTATTGACGTATCCATTCTTTGCTTTGATGGGCGATTATGTTGACCGTAATATAGACATCATGCACAACACGTATTTCGAACAGAACCATGATTCTCAAAATAAATTTGCACATTTTGGAAGCTTTGTTCAGGCGTCAGTCTATTCATGTTGAACTGCCAAACCAAACTGAACATAAATCACTCGACAGCTTACAAAATGACTTTAAAGTTCTATACCTCTAAAAAACACTAAATATTAAGCCAGATAGCACACGACATGTCAAATTAGTCCATACATTATCCACGCAGTCCAGGAAACTCTCCTGACGTTCAACGGAGTATCATTTTCCATCAACTATCAACTTCTGGACGTTCTTTGGATACCCTTTTATATATAATATAAAATGACACTAAATTCAGGCGCGATGTTTCATGGATGATTTTTATGAATATTTTTTTTTATTTATTTTATTTTTATTTTGTCGTCCCACAAAAAAAAAATTGGAGGAATGTTTTTATTACCAAATTTCCTTAAGAGCCTAGAATTATGACTTATAAACTTCTAACTGATCATGGTTTATAAAAACAACGGTTTTATCAAAATCGAAATACAATTGAGTATCGTTCGCATATTCCTGAAAATTTAAAGATTTTAAAATATCGGAAGTGTAAATCATATGATATCGATTTGAAAGATAAAGAAGAAAATATGATTCGCCGTATCGAATGCCGAAAAAGTATTAGGGCACTCATTAGTTTCTTGTCAGTTGTCTGGACAATATCATCAAATATTTATAAGAACACTCGTAGTACTTGATTTTTGTTTAAAACCACATTGACTTTCTGGTACTATTCCTTTAACAATTGTATAATTATACATTTGATTATAGAGAACTTTTTCAAATATTTTTGAAACTGAACGGGTGTTATTTTAACTAGTGGCTTCCCAAGTGACAGTTTTAGCTCTCTGGGAAATGCTTCCGTCTATAGAAGAATAATTAAAAAAAAAACTCCAGTGCATTTGGTTTAATTTCATGAACATATTTATGAACATCAGATATTTTTGCTAAATCAAAACAAAAGTGTAAATCATTATTGAAGAAATTGTTCTGATAATAGTATACAAGGTGTTGCTTTTAAGGAAAATGACCTTGAATGATTTTTTATTTAAATTTTTATATTTCAATATTGATAGCGGAAGTTAGCCATTCTATAACCCCAAATATAAAACAAAGGCTTTTAGTAGAAGAAATCAATAGAAATATTCAAACCTGCAAACCACTTTCAGATAATCAAAATTTCTCACAGACGATAAGATTTACGTATAGCATATAGCAAAGTATATAGAAAGTGTCAGTTACTCACGAAAAAACAAATACCTTGTAAATGAATGAATACAATATTTTAATAATATTTTATGTGTTTTTTATATTTTGTACAGGTTTGAGATAATTTCATAATAAACGGGCCACACGGTACATACAAAACCTCGTCACATGTTTATAGACGTTTTTGAATTTACATTTTCTTTTACAAATTTCATCCAGCGGGTAATTTCAATAAAAAGTTTTTTTTTCATAATTCACCTGCATTGCAAATTAGAGTGATTTTTAATTTACCAGATTTTGAGTTTTTTTTTATTTGTCATCTTTTGTTAAATTTATTTTTTCAATTTTCAATGAATGTATTTCGTTTTCAACCTAAACTTCTTCGCGAGGACTGCTTTCAATTAATTTGTTACAGTCATTCTAAAAATTATATGCACAGTCAACTAGAACTCATATGATGGTCTTAAATCGCAAGAAAAGTTATGTAAAATCCCACTTGGTCTTCTTTTGGCTTACGCAAACGCAAATTTTGCTAGCAAGATTGAAATCTGTCTATTTCAATGAGAACTAATTTTTACAGACCATATCCCAGTCCATGTAATGGCTTTGAAGGTAGAAAACAATGAAAATTATATATAATAAACTTTTCTCTCCCCCCCCCCCCCCCCCTCACCCTACCAGTGTATATGTCTCTCTCTCTCTCTCTCCCTCCCTCTCTACCTCCCCCGCTCTCTCACTCTGTCTCTCTCCTACGGATGGTAGCTTGACTTAGTCAAATATAAAATTATGCGAAATCCTGCGGAATCGTTTGAAAATCACTGATTTGCGAAATGCTATCACACTTATTACCATTACGGCTAAATCCTTCGCGATTTTTGTTATTTTTATGCCGACCCTTACAGTGTAAATGTTGGCTGTATTGTAAAGATAATAAAGATATCGTATTACATTGCACTGCAATGCTCTTTCGTTTAAATATCTGTTAAAACGACCCTGAGTATATGTAATTGATTTAAAGTCCATTTTAGAAAGGTGAAAACCTTAGTTACAATCAGATTTTTATCATCCTTAAGCCATGTTAACGGTCGAATTAATCTTGAATCGACTTATTGGAAATATTTAAATAGTCGGTCGGGAATTTTGGCAAGTCACTTCAAACAGAAAAAAGTTCCCGAAAAAAAAATTATTTCCAGAAAGCTTCTGGTTCCCGTAAACTAGTCGACGGCCGAACGTATATTTATAACACAAAGTAAATATATATTAGGCCGTCCTAGTTTATGAACCGTTTGACACCTTATTTGTAATATACAACGGTGGGCCGCAGCGGCTTAACGGATCAACAGTATTTCGAATACAAATATTCTTTATTAAAACCATCATCATCACCCCGCTACGATTACGTCCCCGTGACATGGGCGTACGCACGATTTCTTCTCAGGGGACAGACGAATTGCAAACAAAATTTTGTACATCGTCAATTTCATCAAATTTGATAATGGCTCAAACTTTTGTTTATATTATAATTAAAAATAATTGCACAGTCAAAACCACTAAAGTGAATCAAATTGAACGACCTATATCGAACGACCGTATCGAAAAAATTGTCACTAGGAAAAAAATCATTATGATAAAGGATGGACAGCGACAATAAGAAGGGATAGACATAAGATCGTTAATGTAGCACAGGACTATTATAGGAAACGTTGATTCTAGTACTACGCCATTACAAACATTAAAAGAAATTTTGAAACTAAAAATAACAAACGTGAACTCTGAAATAATGACCGCCATATTCAAAGAGGGAATGGAAAAAGCAATAAGCGAAGTGAAAAGAAACAAGGCCCCAGGAAGATGATATTCTAATTGAAATGCTAAAAGAAGAACACGAACGACTTACAGAATACTTGAGGAATCTTTTTAACAAGTGCTTACATGAAGGTAAAGTACCACAACATAAGTTAGTAATACTCTCTGGTTGAAGTAAGTCCTTAAAGGACATATTTTAATCCCCATATTGGAAACTTAAAGGAATCTCAGTAAACAGAATCAGAAACAAAAAGTACGTAAATCACCTCTGGTTTGCAGATGATATGTCGTTAGTAGCTTCAAAAATGCTATCACAGCTACATCAGGTATTAACACCAAAGGGTCTTAAAAGAAAATTAAAAAAGTAATGACTAACACAAACGATAGTTAGAGAGTTATTGAATATGTGCTTGAATACGTATACCTGAGTTAAGCTTGCCGAGCAAGGAAGAAAAATTAGAACGTTGAAATAAATAGAGAATCAGAGAATCCTTTACAACTAAGCACAAAAGATTCAACTCCTGCATTGTTCCAGTCCTAATATATGGTGCCCAAACGTGGTACCTTTACAAGAAAAAAATGTAGACAGAATAAGAAATGATAGGAATTGCCCTCATAAACAATAAAACCAATGAATGGGTAAAAAATCTTGTTGCTTGCTGCTTTGCTCCTTAGTAAAGACTTAAATGGAGATGGGCAAGCCACAACGAATGTCTTCAGGACAATAGAATAGGACAATAGAATAGATACATTCATCAAAAAGATCACGCCGAAGACCCCAAATACAATGGGAAAATGAACTAAAGTTTGTAGGGTGAACGTGGCAAACAAAAAAAAACTAACCAAAACTGGAGATAATTGGGAGAGGTCTAAGTAGAAAAATGGATGACGAATAAAATAGATCGGTGAGTCTATAAATAAGGGTGTAGCTATGGATATAGATATAGATATATCTATCTATATCTATTTGTAACCAGATTATTCATTCCTATGTTACATATAGAACAGTTCTGATAAATGTTATTACAGGCCTTCAGTTTACAGCAGTGTACCTGATTACAAAATAAAACTTTTGTGTTCATGTTTCTGTGAGTAATTAGTATACACTGTTTCAGCTGATAGATTTTGCTAAACTACCAGAAACCCAGTTCCTCCTAAAGAGTTGTTGTATGTGTTCGTCTCTCAGAGTTATACGGTACCTTCAACTCCGTATTTTTCAAAATCTGCATTGAATTAAAGTTTATGTATCATTCCTGTTCGGTTCAGTTTCAGACCAAATACTTTTTGCAGACACCCACCCACCATTGTGTTATTAATCTTCATGTCTAAACTATTTACCATCCTCGTCTATTGTTTATTAGATGGTAACCACTGCACATATACCGGACATTGATTTCTTGATTAAACACTTAAACAAACTTTAAGTTTTGCATTTTTCAAGTTTAG